GCACAAAGAGAGCCAAGAGGAATCCCTCGTGTCCACGTGCTCCTGTGGCCAGAGAGTGCTGCTTTGCTTTAAACGTGAGGCTTTTATCCCGCTGCTGGTGGGTGGGAGCTGGGCTTCCTCCTGCTGCCGCCTCTGCCCTTGGCCAATCAGCCAGTGACCCATGGGCATGGTGGGGTTGCTGCTCGTCCCTCCTGGCTGCTGAGGTGCCTGCTGGGGCTGTTGCAATCGTCACCGTTATCCTCACGCAACACAGCTTGTGACACCCGGGGGCACAGCACAGAAGGCTTCCCTCAGGCGTCCTCGCATATTCTTGATGATATGACATGTAGGTGTCCTGTGGCAAGGGCTTGGAAGGATGGGGATGCAGGGCTGGGCTCTGAGAGAAAAGCCCCGCAGCTGCCCCAATTCAGCCAAGATCCAGCTCCAGCCGACTGCAAAAGGGACCTGCTGGTGGCCAGAGCTGAGCTAATGAGCGACACTGGTTGTGCCTCCATCATAACAGGGAATCGTTGAATCATTTGGGTTGGAAAAGACCTCTGATTACCAACAAGTCCAACCCAGAAATGAGCACTGCCAAGTCCACCATTAAACCATAGAATGACAGAATCATTAAGGTTGGAAAAGCCCTCCAAGATCATCTGGTCCAACCATCCCCTACCACCAATGTCACCACTGAACCATGTCCCTAAGCACCACGTCCAACCTCTCCTTGAACACCCCCAGGGATGGTGACTACGCCACCTCCCTGGGCAACCCGTCCCAACGCCTGACTGATCTTTCTCAGCAGAAATGTCTCCTCATTTCACAGAATTACAGAATTAAAGAATTATCTCTCTAGGTTGGAAGAGACCTTAAGATCATCTCGTCCAACCTCTAACCTAACACTATCAAGTCCTCCACTAAACCATATTGCTACTTCCAACCTTAAACTCCACTGGCACAACTTGAGGCTATTCCCTCTCGTCCTATCACTGGTTACCTATGAGAAGAGGCCGACCTCAGCTCCCCACCCCTTCCTTTCAGGCAGTTGCAGAGAGCAATAAGGTCTGCCCTGAGCCTCCTCTTCTCCAGAGCAAACACTCCCAGTGCCCTCAGCTGCTCCTCACAGGACTTGTGCTGCTAATAATTTGGGGTACATGAGGCCCGGCACTGCAGCTGGTCAAGGGAAGGGATTGTCCTGCTCTGCTCTTTCTGTGGCTGTTACATCTCGAGCACTGGGGGCAGTTTGGGGTGTATCAGGGTCAGAAGGGCACAAACCTATTGGAGACTGTCCAAAGGAGGGCCATGAAGGTGATGAAGGGTCTGGAGGGGAAGGCGTGTGAGGAGCAGCTGAGGTGCCTTGGTTTGTTCAACCCCGAGCAGAGCAGGCCAAGGGGAGGCCTCATGGCAGCCTGCAGCTCCCTCACGAGGGGAGCGGAGGGGCAGGCGCTGAGCTCTGCTCTCAGGGGACAGCGACAGGACCCAAGGGGACAACATGGAGCTGGGACAGGGCAGGGTCAGGCTGGGGGTGATGGAAAGGTTCTGCACCCAGAGGTAGTCGGGCACTGGGACAGGCTCCCCAGGGCAGTGGTCAGGGCACCAAGGTGCTGGAGTTGAAGAACCGTTTGTACAATGCTCTTAGACATAGGGATTGGTTTTGGATGGTGCTCTATGGAGCCAGGATTTGGTCTCAATGGTCCTTGTGGATCCCTTTCTACCTTTGTGCTGGCGCCATGGCTGCCCTGGACACACACGCCCTTCCTCACACGCAGCAAACAGCCTGGCCCCACAGGGACTGCCAGCCCCGGCTTCTCCACAATGCTGGTGGGGAACAGCAGCCCTGGGCACCCTCTGGCACAAGGACACGCTCACGCTTCCCAGCAGCTGCAATGCCAAACTGCACGCCTTTATTGGAGCAGGGAAAAGCAGCCTGTGGCCAAACCACAGCAGGCCCATGGAACAGGACGTCAGCAGCTGTTTCCAGGAGCGAGAAGCGAGGGGGACATCCTGCTCACAGCATTCAGGGCATCAACCCCATGTCCTGTACAGAGAAAGAAGAAAGCTTATCACGTCCTTGAAACTTCTCCCTTTTGTCTCTCTCCCAATCTCTCTCACCTTCTCTCCAAGGACAAACGAGTCTTGAGACTCAAGAGTCAAATGCTTAGAGGTGAACTCATGGCCTTACTGCTGATGGCTGAGAACTGTGCCCTCCTTAGTGCTGGTAGCCCTGACTCCAAGTCTTTGCAGAAGCATCAAGAACAGGACTGTGTCCTACAACATCTCCAAGGGGCAACCATAACCTTTTGCCAGCAAGGTAGAGTCCTCTGCAAAAGCTGGGCAAGTCTTGTGGGGCAGAGCAGAATGGGGAGGTGCTGGCTAAGCTTAGGGTCCTTCAGCCCACACAGGGCTGAACCCACACATCCAAAGCCACGATCCCCTTCATTTCCAGGTCTCTCCTGCACAGTATATTCTGTACATGCTGATGGTTATGTGTAGAGTAGGAAGAGTTCTGTAACAATTATTTTAAAGGACGAAGGAGGAATACGTTTCGTTAACCATGGACCTTACCTGCTGCAGCAGGGTTGGAAAGATGAGCATCTCCCAATATGTCTTTCAGGGAAGAGGCAGTTCCCAAAACGACAAATTCCCCCTCTTCTTCTACAGCGTAAAGTACTTCCTGCTGCAATAGAAAGACATGCACGGTAAGCCATTAGAAAAATGATTGCAACAGGGGTCAGAGCACTGGCATAGCTTCCCAGAAAGGTTCTGGAGTCAGCCTGCTTAGAGATCTTCAAAAATCACACAGAGGGGCTCGAGACAAGGAGGCTTTGGGACACTGTGCTGTGTGTCAAAACAAAAACACTGTGTGTCAGCCATTGCACCAAGCCAACATCCCCCTTGGGCTCTCTCCCATTCCTGCACAGGACAAAAGGTCCCTCTGAAGGACGCTGCTGTCCACACCTCAGCACATCTCCCTCCTTCCCCTCTCACCTGCAGCGCCCTGGAGAAAGAGGAGGACGAAGGGGAAGAGCAGGAACAGGATCTTCATGGCTGGTGCCCGGAGCAGGTCTTCACAGGGCTGCTGCAAAGAAGACAAACCAAGGTGACAAGGACCTGGGGGACAACCCCAGGTGGTGCTGCAGCAGCCTGGGCACAACTCTGGGGAACCCCAGTAGTGGCTACCTGCGCCTACAAGAAAAAGATATTTTCTTAGCCTTTTTCTTCAGAAGAGTTCTGAGGTGTGCACCTACCTGATGGAGGTCCTGGTGCTCAGGCACAAAGAGAGCCAAGAGGAATCAATCCCTCGTGTCCATGTGCTCCTGCGGCCAGAGAGTGCTGCTTTGCCCTAAACGTGAGGCTTTTATCCCGCTGCTGGTGGGTGGGAGCTGGGCTTCCTCCTGCTGCCGCCTCTGCCCTTGGCCAATCAGCCAGTGACCCATGGGCATGGTGGGGTTGCTCCTCGTCCCTCCTGGCTGCTGAGGTGCCTGCTGGGGCTGTTGCAGTCATCACCGTTATCCTCACGCAACACAGCTTGTGACACCCGGGGGCACAGGAGGCACATAGCCTGCCGTGTCTGGAGGGCAATGGCACCACGGGCACCCTGCAAGGAGAAGAGGGCTTCCCTCAGGTGTCCTCTGATATTCTTGGTGATACGACTTCTTAGGATCCTGTGGAAAGGGCTTGGAAAGATGGGGATGCAAAGGCTGGGCTCTGAGAGACGATTCCCAAAGCTGCCCCACGTCAGCCAAGAGCCAGCTCCAGCCGATTCCAAAAGGGACCTGCTGGTGGCCTGAGCTGAGGTAATGAGCGACACTGGTTGTGCCTCCATCATGACAGGGAATTGTTGAATCATTTACGTTGGAAAAGACCTCCGAGATCGCCTGGCCCAACCATCCTGTACCACTAGTTTCACCCACTGAACCCTGTCCCCAAGCACCACGTCCAACCTCTCCTTGAACACCCCCACAGACGGGGACTCCTCCACCTCCCTGGGCAACCCGTCCCAACGCCTGACTGATCTTTCTCAGCAGAAATGTCTCCTCATTTCCAACCTGAACCTCCCCTGGCACAACTTGAGGACATTCCCTCTGGTCCTACCACTGGTTTCCTGTGAGAAGAGGCTGAACCCCAGCTCCCCACCCCTTCCTTTCAGGCAGTTGCAGAGAGCAATAAGGTCTGCCCTGAGCCTCCTCTTCTCCAGCCCAAACACCCCCAGTGCCCTCAGCCTCTCCTCACAGGACTTGTGTTGCAAATGCCATGAGGGAACATGAGGCCCGGCACTGCAGCTGGTCAAGGGAAGGGATTGTCCTGCTCTGTTCTGCCTGCTGCTGCCTCACCTCAGGTACTGGGGGCAGTTTGGGGCTCCTCTGTCTCATAAGGACATAAATATAACGGAGAGCGTCCAAACGAGGGCCATGAAGGTGGTGAAGGGTCTGGAGGGGAAGGCGTGTGAGGAGCAGCTGAGGTGCCTTGGTTTGTTCAGCCCGGAGCAGAGCAGGCCGAGGGGAGGCCTCAGGGCAGCCTGCAGCTCCCTCACGAGGGGAGCGGAGGGGCAGGCGCTGAGCTCTGCTCTCAGGGGACAGCGACAGGACCCGAGGGGATGGCATGGAGCTGGGACAGGGCAGGGTCAGGCCGGGGGTGAGGGAAAGGTTCTGCACCCAGAGGCGGTCGGGCACCTGGACATGATACCAAGTTCGAACAGGCCTGCTGGAGTCCAAGAAGTGTTGGGACAATGCTCTCAAACATCGGGATTGGTGTTGGGTGCAGTGTGGAGCCAGGATTTGGAATCAATGGTCCTTATGGATCCCCTTGTACCTTTGTGATGGTGCCTCTGGCTGCCACGGACAAGGGACACCCATGCCCGGCAGCACCAGCACAGGGCTCCTGCTCGCCCTCCCCTTCCTCACCCGCAGCAAACAGCCTGGCCCCACAGGGACTGCCAGCCCCGGCTTCTCCACAATGCTGGTGGGGAACAGCAGCCCTGGGCACCCTCTGGCACAAGGACACGCTCACGCTTCCCAGCAGCTGCAATGCCAAACTGCACGCCTTTATTTGAGCAGGGAAAAGCAGCCTGTGGCCAAACCACAGCAGGCCCATGGAACAGGACGTCAGCAGCTGTTTCCAGGAGTGAGAAGCGAGGGGGACATCCTGCTCACAGCATTCAGCACATCAACCCCATGTCCTGTACAGAGAAAGCAGACAAACATGGCACCTGCTTGAAACTTCTCTGTTTTGTCTCTTTCCCACCTCCCTTCCAAGGACAAATGAGTCTTGAGACTCAAAAGAGTCAAATGCCCAGAGGCGAACTCATGGCCTTACTGCTGATGCCTTAGAACTGTGCCCTCCTTAGTGCTGGTAGCCCTGACCCCAAGTCTTTGCAGAAGCATCAAGAACAGGACCGTGTCCTTCACCACCTCCAAAGGGCAACCTTAAACCTTTGCCAGCAAGGTAGAGTCCTCTGCAAAGGCTGGGAAAGTCTTGTGGGGCAGAGCAGAATGGGGAGGTGCTGGCTAAGCTTAGGGTCCTTCAGCCCCACACAGGGCTGCACCCACACATCCAAACCCACAATCCCCTTCCTTTCCGGGCCTTTCCTGCACAGTACATTCTGCAAATGCTGATGGTTATGTGTAGAGTAGGAAGGGTTCTGTAACAATTATTTCAAAGGAAAAAGGAGGAATCCGTTTCGTCAACCATGGACCTTACCTGCCGCAGCAGGGTTGGAAAGCTGAGCATCTCCCAATCTGTCTTTCAGCAAACTGGCACCTCCCAAAACGACAATTTCCCCCTCTTCTTACACAGAGCCAAGAATTTCCGACTGCAATAGAAAGACATGCATGGTAAGCCATTGGAAAGATGATTGCAACAGGGGTCAGAGCACTGGCACAGCTTCCTCGAGAGTTTCTGGAGTCAGCCTGCTTAGAGATCTTCGAGAGTCACATGGAAAGGCTCAAGACAAGGAGGCTTTGGGAAACTGTGTTTGAGGTCAAAACAAAACCACATTGTGTGCCAGCCATTGCACCAAGCCAACATCCCCCTTGGGCTCTCTCCCATCCCTGCACAGAACAAAAGGTCCCACTGAAGGATGCTGCTGTCCACACCTCAGCCCATCTCCCTCCTTCCCCTCTCACCTGCATCACCCTGGAGAAAGAGGAGGAAGAAGGAGAGGAGTAGGAACAGGATCTTCATGGCTGATGCCCGGAGCAGGTCTTCACGGGGCTGCTGCAGAGAAGACAAACCAAGGTGACAAGGACCTGAGGGAGAAGCCCAGGTGGTGCTGCAGCAGCCTGGGCACAACCCTGGGGAACCCCAGTAGTGGCTACCTGCTCCTACAAGAAAAAGATATTTTCTCAGCGTTTTTCTTCAGAAGACTTTTGAGGTGTGGACCTACCTGATGGAGGTCCTGGTGCTCAGGCACAAAGAGAGCCAAGAGGAATCCCTCGTGTCCACGTGCTCCTGCGGCCAGAGAGTGCTGCTTTGCCCTAAACGTGAGGCTTTTATCCCGCTGCTGGTGGGTGGGAGCTGGGCTTCCTCCTGCTGCCGCCTCTGCCCTTGGCCAATCAGCCAGTGACCCATGGGCATGGTGGGGTTGCTCCTCATCCCTCCTGGCTGCTGAGGTGCCTGCTGGGGCTGTTGCAATCGTCACCGTTATCCTCACGCAACACAGCTTGTGACACCCGGGGGCACAGCGGGTACGCAGCCTGAGCTGCCTGGGCAGGAATTGCCTGCCATGGGCACAGCAGATTGGCTGGGGGAGATCCCAGCAGCAAAACGTCCCTTAGAAGGATAAAATCTTTTTCTCTCCCTCTCCTCTCACTATTTAGTAATCAACTTGTGAGTGACATACTAAATCATGCGGTTTATTTTTCTTTTATCTATTGTTAACCTTACAGGAATAGTTTTGTGTTTGCCAGGCCAGGGTGTGACAAATAGGACTCTATCTGTCTGATGGCTGCTGTGATTAACAGGTTGTGAGTAGAGGAACAGCAAATGGGTGAGTCCACAGCTCTCCCATGAAGCTGAATTCCAAGTTCCAAGAGGGCTGTCCCAGTGCTCTGATGTACAAATGCTTTGGGACATTCATCCTGAAGAGATGAAGGGTCTCGAGGTTGGGTCCCAGCCTCGTCCTGCCCTGCCCTGCTCCCTGGCCCAGGACAGGGATATCCTCTGCCCCACCAGCTCCCACAGGGCAGTTCAGTTGCCACCCCCATGCCCCCCTTGAGATGAACCCTATGGGTCTGCCCCAAGGCTTGCCCACCGTGCTGCCCCACAGCCTGGCCCCAATCTCCTGAGTGACCCCCTGGCCTGGCCACCAGTCCTTATTTCCTCTGGGGCAGGATGATTTCCCCCTACCCCCCACAGCCTTGGTGGCACAAATCCAGGCTCCACAGCCGGGGATGGACCCAATGCCACCTCAACGCCCAGAGTGGTGTGTCCCTTGAAGCAGCTTCACAAGAACAATGCAAAACAGCCACGAGGAAGAAGGGCAGGTCCCCCGCTATCCTTTTCCCCCCACTCATTCTTTCTGTTGTTTAAGATGCCCTGGGGGTGAGCAGCTCCTATGCAGCGGTGTTGTGCCCCCAGGCAGGAATGAGATGGAGAAAAGACACGGCACACCACTCCCCGGGACGCACAGACTCCTCAGCAGTGGGATTACAGACTACCACCTTTTATTGGGGGCAGAGAAGTGCTCGTGGGGCCATGGTCTGGCTGTCGAGGGTCACCGGTGTCTCCGGTGCGCTGCAAAGGCACAGGGTGGCTTCGAAGTGCCGCGTGGAGATGAGCGTGAGGAGCCCCAGGGGCCATCAGGGATACCATCGCCTGCAGGAGGAAAAGCCTGGCAGTGAGAATTCCAGCTCTGTGAGGATTTCTCAAGGGAAATGCCCTTCTCCCTTTGGGGTTATTGCTGAACGGTGACCCTAGGGCTGGCAGCAGCAAGGGAAGGGCCCCCACAGTCTCCGTGGGTGGTGGCCAGGCTGTGCTGGTGGGAAGTGCTGGAGGACACCAGGTCTCTGCAGCCCCAGCAGCATCTCCCAGGCTTGGGGACCCATGCCCTTGGGCTGTGTATCCTCCCCTTTCTCCATCAGCATCACCTCTAACCCCAACTACCAACCTCCATCAGGCAGCCCTGACCTCACCTCCGGCAGCAGAAGTCCTCCTTGGAGCAGAGGCCAATGCGACCGATCCCTGGAGGACACGACCTGTGGGAGCAGAAGCCCCCACGGCGTTCACAGTCCTGGGGGGATCCTCGAGGAAAGGACAGCCCTACAGGGAGCAGGAAGAGAGCATCTCAGCACAGTCCTACTCCCTGCATGTCCAACGTTTGCCCACCACATCTGTCCCCTGCCCTGAAGTCCCAGGCAGAAGGAAACGGGGCGATGTTCCTGGAATTTGGATGGGAGACGCTCGCCACCATCCCACAGCAGCCTCGGGGAGAGGGTCTCCAACACGTGAGCTGGCTCCCTCCTGGCACGAGGGAGGGCATCACGGGGAGAAGCAGGAGCTTCTTCCTTTCTTCTCCTCTCCAGGAGTGCTGCTGTGCCCTGGGGGTGCGGAGAAGGTGGCAGAATCATCCCAGGGGCGTGAGAGCTTTGTTGCAAGGTCCCTGCTTCAGAACCTGCAGCAGGAGCCTCCCCTTAAAGATCTGGGGTGTGAGGGACCCCAGCAGGGTTCTGCAGCAATAGGAGAAGACACACGATTCGTGATCATCAAATTCTCCATTTTCCCCACAAAATACTTACAAAGGACAAATCCTCCCCATCCCTTTTCGTGCGTATCTTACCTGCTGCTGCCTGGAGCATCAGGAGGAGGACGGCGAGGAGGAGAGGCAGGATCCGCATGGCTGGGAGATGCCCCGAGGGTCACGGCCCTGCGAGAAGAGGAAGCAGGGCAGAGAGGGAACAGGAGAGCCCCTGCCCCTGGGTCACGCAGCACCTGCAAAGGGACAGGACCGAGGATCAGGGGCAGCCCACCTGGGAGGAGATGCTGCTGGGGGAGCCTCCTCACCTCTCTGCTTCCAGCAGTTTGATCCCAGCTGGTCCCACCACGTGGCAAAGGCCAGCGGCTTCCTCAGCCTCCCCAGCAAAGCTTCTGCCACGCAGGCAGCGTCCCCTGGGACTGCTGACTCCTCAGGCTGCCTGGCCAAGAAGCATTTTTCTTCCTCTTCTCCCCCTGCCAGAGATGACAAGGAATCGTTTTCCACCTCTGACAGCTCTGAGGAGGATTCCCAGGCCTTCAGCCTCGCGGCTTGTGTCATCCCACCTTGCGAAAGAGGCGTTGGCTGCTGTGGTTTGCTGGACATGTCTTGGGACACACACACACACACACACACACACACACACACACACACACTGCATCCCTGTTTGTTAGGCCCTGGCAAGCGATGTGCTTTCCCAACACAAAGGAGCTCTGTGTTCCCCTCCTCAAGCGAAGCGTGCTCTCGCCATGCTTCGCTTGAAAATTGCCTGGGAAGAGGCCGCGCAGGGTGACATCTCCGTCCAGCTGGCAGCCCTCTGAAAAGACAAGCTGTAATTGTGCCTCTGCCACGTCAGGCTTTGCCGGGTATCATCTGTTGCTGGTTCTCAGCAGATCGGGGGTGTACTTTTATAACCCCGTTTCAGCTTCATCAGTCGTGTATAGATGTGTGTGTGTAAATAAATATATGCGTAACAATGTACTCAGACATAATGTATGCTTACTGAGTGCTTACATCCTTACACCTTGCATCCCAACCCCTCATCATATTTCTTTCCTCTTTCCTGCCTGAATTTCTCTCCCCACTGAGGAGAGTTGCATCAGGCATTTGGAGCTGTGTCTCCAGGGGGACACAGCCGTGCTGCTCAGGAGCAGGGCCCTTTCTGTTCTCTCCCCCACCCCAAAACTGAACTAGTGTGTGTGTTGAAGAGGAGCAGCACTGGGATGTAGCTAATTACCATCTTAATGAAGCTCTTTAAGGAGCTGCCACGGGCAGATTTTTGCAGTGAGGAAGCTGCTGGGCTGAGCTCCTCATCTGCTCCTTACAGATTGTGTCCTCCTCGTGGTGATGTCCCAAATCATCCTGACAAATCCCACCTGAAAAAATCCTGCATCTCTCCCGTGGTCTATAAAGAGATCTTTGTGTGCAGGGAGGGCTGCAGGGGCCCTGGGGTGAGCAGATCTCCTCTCCTGCACACCTTTGTGCCATGAACCTCTGTGCCATGAAGGCTGAACCTTCTCCACAAAGCCCTCAGTCTTTGTGCAAAACATCTTGTGCCACTCACAGTTTGTGAAAGAAGCACTCGGTTATGCAAAGCTTCTTAGGACATCAACTGCAAATTGCTGGTTTGCTTCCACGCGGCAACTTCCTGAGGTCTCCATCCAGGGGAATCCCTGCGAGGTGGCCGTTGGCCCAGTTTCCTGCCCTGCACAAGGCTGTGGTTTCACTGGTGGCACTGAATCCCTTGCAGCAATAGCTGGTTTTGCAGGGAGGCCAGGCGCTCAGTCCTTTGTAGGCTCTTGGGTCGCTTCCCTTAATCCAGGAGCCATGGAAGAGCTGGGGTTAGGGTTTTAGGGTTATTCTGGCACGGTGCTCATCAGCCTGGGCTCAACCCATGGCTCACCTGAGCAGGACTCAGGAGGCAGCTGGAACGTGCTGGTTGTGGACAGGCGTTTAGCTGAGGTTGCCTTGCTTTGGGGGCCGAATGTGCTCTGCTGAGCCAGCTGGGCTCCAAACAGAAAGCTATTCACGGGCTGCAGCCTCTGAGTGCTGGGCTCAAGGCCAATTTATCTGCACAAGGATGCTGTTGACCGTGGAAGGCCAACCTGCACCTTCTGAGTTAGGGTTTAAGGTGGGACAGGAGAAGCCTCTTGCAAGAGGAGTGGTTGAATAGCAGGGGTATTGGCCTTTCATACGGGTTTTCTAATTGTTGAGCTAATTGTCATGGGTTTCATTCATTTCTAATTGTCATGAGTTTAATTCTGCTCACCTCCTGGATCTGACATGAATTTTGCAGATTGACTCCAAATTTATATATCCCAAAACAAAGTAAAGGGTAAAAACAGGTTTTGAATCTTAAAATGATTAAGGAGGTCACCTGCCTCCTTTTGTTCTCCTGTCTCCTCCTCAGTTCCCGTAATGACTGCTGTTCTTGGCTCTGAAAGCTGTGGGCTAGGAGGGGGAACCCCAAATTTTCAGAACAGAGGAGCTCTGAAGAATCACACTGGAGAAGTGACTCCTCATACTCCCTTTGGAAGTGATCACTGACTCCAGCTTTGATCCCAGCAGGGGGGGAAATTATTTGGGTAAACTGAACATTCCTGGTAGGTGTAACCTGTTTTCACAATTCTTGCTCAAATTTCTAAAGATGAGTAATATTTCCAAAGAAACAAATAATAACAACACACCTGGCAGCCATACAATCACCCTGAATGCTGCTTTTATTGAAAGAATGACCAATCTTTATTGAAAGAACAATCAGTACAATGGTGCCCTGAATCCAACGATGCAAGAAGAGATCATTCCCAGATCCCTGGAGATCCTGGGCAACTGGTCACACTACAACCTGCACAAAGGAAAGAATATTTCAAGGTTTTCAGGTCTGAATTGATGGGGAAAATCCCACCATACAGATGTTAAATGAAAATTTGGAAAGTCAGCTTTGCCCCAGTCAAGTCTTAATCTTACCATTTACAGCAAGAATGCCCAGCACGGCACCGCCCCAGATAAGCATTCCCACGAGGGCATTTCCCAGGGGTGCAGAAGGTCCCACGATAGCCACATCGCATAAGATGCTTTGGAGGATGGGTAAAGTCTGTACCATACAAAAAAAAAGAAAAAAAAAAAAAAAAAAGAAAAAAGAAAGAAAAAAAAAGAAATAAAAAAAAGTGCCCAGAGTCCTAATGCAATGTCCAGAGGAGGGCTATGGGCAGCACAAGCAAACACATGCTTTAATTCCTTCTTCAAATACAAGAACTGTATCTCCAAGCCCAGGAAAGCCCTTAGAAACTCATATTTTAGGAACAGACAGCAGAGATGGGATAGAAAACATTTCTTAGGACTTCGTCACAATCAAGGACAGCTGCTCAGCTGGGAAGCTGCCACTTTTGGGGGCAGAATGATAAGGATTTATTTTTGTGTGCCTAGATTTCCACAGATTTGGCCTGTTATCCTTGCTCTAGGTTTCACTCAAGTCCAACATCAGGTCCTGATGTCTGGAGGTCCATACGGATGGCCACCATGTACAGCTAAACCCATCAGCACATGCAGAACGACCACTTCTATGCCAGGCATTGCCTGCTAGGTCTTGGGCCAAGCAGTGTAGCATTGCTTTTGTCCACGTGGTTACACTTTCTTCCCACATAAAATACAATATCCACATTAGGACTGCTTTTGGGAATGGTTTGTACTATTCCCACAGCGGTGTCTGGGTTTTACCAGTGACAGTGTTAGTTGTTGGGGGTGAAAAATTGCCCTGGGAGCAGACTAACAATTAATACAGCGTGTTCCCTGGACCTGCCTTGTCTTTTCCCATCCTTAAACCCCAGAGAACATTTACTATCCTATTCCCACACTGATCAACCCCAAACCTCTACTGACACTTGTGCTCATAGTGCCCTGCACGGTAATTTTGCCATTTTCAGGGATACTGTTTATAAACAGCTCCTTTTGCTGGACAATAAGGTGAGTTTGGGGTTCCAGCACCCTGTGGCACCTTGTTGGGGTTCCAGCACCCCCCCAACAAGCCCTAATCCCTCTCAAAACCCTTGTGGTTGTACAGGATTCCCCACCAAGCAGAGAGTACCAGCAGCATTTTGACCTTGACTCACGATTTTCAGCCTCCCTGACCCAAGTACAAGGTCCTCAAGCATATTTGGAAAACACGGGACCCAAATAATTATTTTTTTTCCATGTGGTTTAAGAATATTTGATATGGGGTGGTTTGTTGTAGGGTGAGCCAGAGACAATGAAAGTGCTCCAAGAGTTGGCAAGCTTTAATGGGGGAAATGGAGGCACTGAAGGGGAATCTGGGGGCTGCCCATCGTGCTTTCAACTCAGACTGGGTTTTTGGAGTAGCAAAGGCAATGAATGGCTGGTTGGAGTGCTTGCCTGCTAATTTCATGCATCAGCTGTAATCTGCCAGTGAGGTTTGATGATATGAGTGAAATTACTTTGCAGGAGGCAGCTTGGCCGCTTCCCAAAGGGGACAGGAGACCTTTATGAGCCACCAGTGTCTGCTTCTGTATCACCCCTTGTTTTTATTTACACCTTACCTGCAGATGCATGAAATGCCACAAAGAGGAGTGCCAAGAGCAAGCAAAGGATTTTCATGGCAGAAGGTGGGCTGGGAGGTGCTGTCACTACAAAGAAATGACATCAAGACATTAATAAGAGGTTTGTCCCTCCACAGCATTTTGGGCTGAGTAGAACAATACAAAAATGCTCTTTGAGACCAAGAGTCATCTAGAACACACTTTTTTTATAACAACGTCTATGGTCTTAAGGGTTTTCTGAAGCACACACATGCATGGCACAGTAAGAAGCTTCTGTGCAGAAAAAAATGGGATTTAAAATCCTCTTTTTAGTTATTGTATTAGCCAGTGTTTATCCTAGGTCGCTTGATACTGTGCAACTCATTGCAATAAATTCATTTTGCCTTATAGAAGTTAATTCAGAAAACAAACTAAGACAATTTTAATGTATTTATACAAAGCAACACAAAGCGTGTTCTCAAGCTTTTCTGAAACAAAACAAAACAGAACAAAAAAGGCAGAGAAAGCTCCTTCACAGTTAGCTTAAAATCCAGCTTCTCCCCATTCTTGCTTAGAGGCTCTTGCTTTTCGTTCACCTCAAGAGCTACTTGATTTCCAACAAAATTTCCTCTCATATCTCTATCTGCAGCCAACAAAAACTCTTTTTTCTTATTGATATTTTAAATTTCTAGAACTGCTTGAGCTAGCACTGGATAGACCAGAGTCACTGCACAGGTAAGGTTATAACAGTGTAACGAAGCTATACATGAAAGATGTGAAATCTCTACCGGTTTTCAGAAGGATAGAAGGTTAGAAGAGAGGCTGAAGAACGAGAAGATTTTGGTCGTTACCAGGTAAGAGGAGGCTCTAGGTTGGACCAGTCCCGTGGATTGGTGTCAGCCACCCAGACACGTTAAGATGAAGGAGCAGAGCTTGGCTTTATGCGGTTTCTGGAGGCTGGTGAAGGATACTTGCTCTTCACAACCATCTGGGGGCCAATCAGAAGATCCCTGCAGTTTTGGGGAGAATCAAGGCAGTCCAGCAAATCCTCTCTGTTAGCGTCCTCCTGTGAGGGACGGAGGTATTGCTTTCAAAATATCCCGGTATTGCCTTGAGAAATATACTGAGCTTCTTGCAAGCCACGTTGGGCCACCTCCAGATCAGATATCTGGTGGGATTTAACCAGCACGTGTCCACTCAGATGGCCACGGATCAGATGTCTTTCAAAGGCATGCCCTTCATTCACATCCCCATGACATGGAAGGAAATCATAATCCTGAAGCTATCCTAAAGCTGCTGTTTAAGAAGGCTTTGTGGTTAGTGTGAGCAATGCCATTTAGCGTTACTCAATTTAACTGCTCGATGAGCACAGAAGTATATTCTACCTGATGATCATATCTTTGCTTACCTGCATCAGATTTAACCCCAGGTGAAAAGGCAGAGCACTTCTAATGTCATCCTCCGCCATGGAGTGACTTCGTCTAGATTTCCTGCTGGGAATGATCCCAGGTCTCTGCCAGCTTTGAGACCGTATCTGGAAATCGCTGGAAGAATGCAAGAGCCAGATTTGTGCCCGGGGAGCTCTGAGGATTGCAGAGTAAAAATGTTTGTGCTCCAACGCCCAGGTCCTGCCCTGCTTGATTCACTGCCAGAGCTATATGGCAGGTATGTTAGGAGCCGATGGCTAAATAATGGTAAGGTGTTGGGCCTAAGCTTGCCTTTGCTCTTATAAAATAGATTTCAATATATTGTCATCCAGCTATTTGAGGGATATGCAATGAGTTCCAGCTCTAAGTATTAATTTTGCCTTCTGCAGCATTGTGCTTTGGGTTTTGATGGGGGCAGTCATGTGCATCGGAGTGCTATCAATGAACTGGCCAGTTAATTCATCTACCAAATAAATCCCAGCAAGAATTTCTCCCTGAATACCCACAACTCATTAATGAGGAAGCATGGACTCCATTTATTTCATTGCTTCCCGATGAGTTCTTTACAAAGGTAAAAAATAGGTCACCGCAGAAAGAAAAATAATAATCAGCTGGAATTAGGTTAAAAATAGCTGTGTTAAATGGAAAGTTAGCACTTCTGTGAAAATTCAGAAACGGGATTAATGAGCTGTTGTTAATATTACATCATTTCTGTTGTCAGAAGGGAAAATGTTGACAGGTTTGATTAACACTACTTTGATTAACAGAAATTAAAAAGATCTGCAGTAAGGAAAGGTGGGGGGAAAAGTGAGGAAGTAAACCAAAAATCTAATAGTTATGAGTAAAACAAGAAAAAAGGGAAAGCGTTGGTTGTTTTTGTTTGTTTGTTTGTTTTTGTTTTGTTTTGTTTTTATAACTTCTGCACCAAAATATTTTCAGTACTTAATACCTCTACTGTATGCAAGATATTTTAAGCCACTGGTTTGTGGCAAATATTACTTGAAACACCCCAACATGATGTTTTACATCTTTACTGATGTTGTTTTCCCCTCATGCTGTTTTTTCGGGACTTTCCTCTTTGGTATGAATCCAGGTCAACATAAAGGAGAAGCCAGCCCTGGCTGAAGTTGTCAGAGAGGGACAGAAAGTCACATTCACCCTTCAGCACCTTTTGCTGGTCTGCCTTCTCAAGAAAATACTTGAGCAGGAGTTGCTGTCTTCCGTGTTTTAAGGACTAGAAGTAAGGATTGTCATGCATTGTGATGCTCCCCATACCATACACCTGGAAGCATCTGCAAGGCTACACCAGTTTTCCTCAATTAATTTAGGGGACCAGGCAATGCTGCCCATTTTCTGTGCTCGAGCAGGGTGGTGTCACCACAGAGGGCCAAAAGGAGGCTTCAGGTCCTGCTGCAACCCCAAATCTGTGCCCGATGTGGTGGTGCAAGTGACCTTCTCCGAGCTGGGAGACCTTGGAGGCCAGCTCAGAGGCAGACACAGAGGTTGTACAACCCCCTGCTGGAGGACAGGAAAAATCCATCCCTGCTGTTAGAGCACAGCCTCCTGGGCCTCTGCGATATCGCCAGAGCTGAGGAGAAAAGAGTCTGCCTCAAAACACCTGCGGCAGATTCTCTGTAGGAAACCCTGTAGGAAAATCTGGTTGCATTTGCTCTTTTAGCCATAGATTAGGCTATGAGAATGATGAGTCCTTGTGGTAACACTCAGCTCTCATGCTGGGCCTGGCGTGTCTCACCGGGGCAAAAGTCCTGCAGGGCAAGGCCAAACCCGGCCTTCTGCTAACTCTTTGGTGCACATCCCCTAGAGAAACAGAGAAACTCCTTCCAGCTTTCATCCTGCACAACTAAAAAGGGGTGCGAGGGTCACAGAGGCTGTGCCTGACTCTCCCAGTGCACCCCTTGGGCTTCCAGGCCTCTGCGCCTCATGGAGTAGGCTCTGCTCCGGGACACAGAGACAGCATGTGTCAAATATGAACACTGAGTGGTCTCAACACCCAGTGAGAGACACCGGAGAGCAACCGAATTCACTAAATCCTCAATGAATGGAGTGGTGAAAGGATTTCAGCCTCCCAGCAAAAGCCAAAGGCCTTGGAGGCCTTCAGCAGATACAGCTGGCAGAGGCTGAGGGACATGAGAGCAATCCCACAGTGACACCCTCCATGGCTTCCTCCTTCCCGTGCATTTACAGAAATTTCTACTATTCCTTCGGGTATCTGTTGTGAAGGGATCTCTGCTTTCTTTCCTAGCCCTCGTTGACTCCTATCAGAACCTGACCTGCCCCGCTGTATGGGAGCTGCTGCTGTCTGTCAGCCGTCTGTTCACCAGAGCTCTTCCCTGTGAGAGCCTCCCCTGAGCTGCCTTTCATGCCCTGCAGGGATTTTTTCTTAGACCTCTTTGTATTCTTTTCGAGTCAAAGCAAATATTTTGCTGAGGTTTCTAGCACAGCCTTTTTAACAGCTTACAGGCTGCCTGCAGGCTTCTTGCTCCCCCGGGTTGCTCCTTTTGGTGCTTTTCTCTATTCATTTTTGCTTTTTTTGAGATTGAATATTCGCATGTTAAATGTATTTGTTCCCACAACACGGATAAAAACAATTGTACTGTGGTAATTTTTGCAGAGCAGCTCTTCTCCAAGTAACTTTTGAATTAGGCCCTTTGCAACACTCACGACCAAATCCAGAAGAAAATTTTCTTGTGGGTACCAGGACCAATTTTTCCAAGAATCAGCCTTTTCCTAATATCATCCAGAACCGCCCCTCACAACAGCTCTGCTGCATCATCTGGAGGAAGGGATCTATGTTCAGAAGATGTGACCTGCTCTTTGGGCCCATCAGGGAGGGCCTATTGCTTAAACCCATCTCCAAGGTGTTGACAGACACTTGCAGCTCGGGTGTGTAGCAAAACATGGGTTGAAACAAGTACACAGACAGGGCTCAACACGTCAGGGCCATCCAGGTCCATGTGACGTCTCATCTGTAGGCAAGCCAAGGCTCCCTTTGCCTTTGCCTCCCAATTTCTTATGCATGGGGACAGTGCTAAATGGTGTATGGGGTTGCACAGGTGGCTTTGATGCTCCCCATTGCCCTCATTCACTGGCTGAGTGGTGCCTTCAACCCTCCCACCTTGTTGAGCTTCATATTATTACCCCCCTTCAAGCAACGAAGGCATTTCCAGTTCAGTACAACCCCAAATCTTACATTATCCTTCTTTCCAATGGAGGGAAGCTTACCGAAAAAGAGGTTTTCCATACCTTCCCTATCATAGCCACCACAAAGCAATTCAGATTTCTGGGATGTGGTCAGCGATTTTGCTCTACACAAAAGGATTTGGTGTCTCCATTTGTTGGTCACAATTAAGAATGATTTTTTATGCTCCTTTCTTAATAGTGCCTGCAGTTATTTTGGAAGGGGATAAACAATGTAGGACATCTCAAGATCTTCCTCCTCCTCCTGGCAGGAGACCAGGAGACAATGGCTTTGCTGACACTTCCCCAGTTCATGCCCCAGTTTCTTCATCTGTGCAAGACGAGTGGAGATTTTTGCATTCTCTTTAAAGTGCTTGACTTCAATGATTATACAACCCCTACGGAGTCTCAACTACCATTATTCCTGAAAGGCAGCCCCATGAGAGAGTCACTGCAACTTTTTGGCATTCCACCAAATACCAGCTTTTTTTTTTTTTTTTTGCTATTGTTATTTCTTCTTCCTGAACTGAAGTAGCTAAAATTAACCCAGGTGGAAGAGCACGGCTTAATCAGAACAGCAGGTACCTTGTGTTTGCTCAGCTACCTCCTACGGCCAGTGCAAGCCCCAGTTCACGAGCACAAAGGACTTTCAAATCACTAGATGGAAGGAGCGATTAAGGTTCAAATACCACCTTTGGGCTTGGGGAGCTCGGTTGTTATTAATGATTACTCCTTTGGTGGTGGCAACGTGCTGTGCAATAACGTCAGCTGCAGCGCGGAGGCAGGACTTGGCTGTGCCTGGAGAAGCTGCTACTCCAAAAACCAGCACAGATGGCTCATGAGATGTTTAAGTCATCTTTCTGGGCTGAATGGATCTGAACTCCCCAAATGTGGAGGTAAACAAACCTCCTCCGAACTTGGACCCGGGTAGGAAAATCCTAGAAAACCTTGTCCAGGTTTGTAGGTGCCCACCCATGAGTTGTGGCTGGACACGAGGCCCACCGTGTGGTCCCAGGCCTCAGGAGCCAGAGTGATCAAAACACTCCTCACCAATTCATGGCTTAAGAAGCTTGGCCTTAATACACATCCTTTATTAGATATTTACACAACTCAGATAATTTGCAGACCGGACTCTTTGGACATGGTGAATACATGTTAGAGGAGAGAAAAGGAGCACAAATCACTCCCATGCTGTAAGGCTGAGATATTTGTCAGAGTCTGGAGGAGAGCAGAAGATTTCAGTGTCCAGGCCTTGCTGCATCACAGCAGAGACCAAATTAGAGTTGGCCAGACCCGGAGAGGAGGAGCTGGGGCTGAATCAGACCTCACCATGCAGGAGCCAGCTGGATGAAGGTGGAGAGACAAATTTCAGGTGGAGGCAAGGTGGGAGGAGAGCAGTGAGACTCCAAAGGCATCCCCATGCTGAAGCCCTTCGACGTTTTGGTTGGCAGAAAGGGCAATGTGGAAGTCCAAGAGCTGGAAAAGGTTCCCCCGGGGTTTCACTGTCACCTCTGAGGCTTGACTGGCACAAGCCCTCTGCACCTCACACCCTCCACCTCCGAGGTGGCCATAACAGGGACCCCGTTCCCAAACAAACCTCTTAGAGGTGGGAACTCCACCTTGTGGGGTCCTCTTCAGGACACCCAGGTGGCAAAAGTGACTTCCACCAGCTCCAGGTGTAGAGAGCACCACAAAGAGCAGCCAAGTAAAGCCGGACAACTGCGGGTGTCACTGCTGCTGACCCCACCAAAGCCACCAAACCCGACATGGACCACGGATGGTCATCACAAGGGTATGCAGCACTTCGCCAGGCCATTGTAGCAGGTACCGATGGATCTCTTGAACAAGGAGCACAGCAAGAAGGAGCACTCGCCCTTGATCTTCCGACACATGACAGTGTCTGGCACTGTAATTGCAAAAAAAAAAAACTTTCTTTGGATGTTCACACGTGAAGAAAGCTTGTCCCCATGTTAACAGGTCTTTGAGCAGACACAAAGTCAACCTAAAAAGTGCCCGGTGGTTGTGTCTGCACTTACCTGTGGTAGCCTGGGACGCCACAAGGAGAGCAAGCAGCAGCAGGAGCATCACCTTCATGGCTTGGGCTGGCATTGGGGGTGTCACCCCAAGGCTGCTGAGAGCAAGAGACGCTGTGAGAGGAAGGAAAGGACCTGTTTATAAAGCTTTGGTTAATGCAATCTGCAGGGATTTAGCAATCGAATAAATAAAGTGCTTAAAGGATGTGCTCTGTAATCTCTAATTACAATTCCCGTGTGGATAGATGGCAGTACTGGCCCCCACCCCAAGAGAAATTATCTTCTTAGCACTGACATCTGGCTCCCGTGCCCTGACCCAAAGTCCCATCTCCTCCATCAGCAGCATGTACAGGCAGGGTCACTTCGAGGTCTTTGTACTCAAATCTCAGTCAGACACAGCTTTGCCTCCAGAAGTTCCAATTCTGAACAGAAGGGAGCATTTGTTCCCCAAAAAAATCCCAACACCACATGGAGACTGAATCCAGAATCAGCCCCACCGAGCTGTTCTGCCTCTCGGTGCGGCTCCAGCAGCGCATCCAGCAGGTCTGGGCACATCTCATGCTCCCGTTTCCAAAAGGGGTCAACACATAAGAAAATCCATCACCATCCTCTACTCTGAGCTCTGCTGGAGACCCGTGGGGGCTCCCGGGTGCTCAAATCCGGCAGAGAAAAGCGCGGCCAAACCAGTGGCTGGAAGGCAGCCAGCGCAACTGGGAGGAGGCTGCGAAACCGGGGAGGGTGCTCAGCTCTGGGAGCACCTCAGCTTTCTGCAGGGCCCAGCAAAGATCAGCACTCGCAGGCCACCAAAGCGATGTTCTCTGGCCGGTTTCTTACCATGATTACCTCCACCTGCTCTCCAGGAGAGGCCTCATCTTCGTGCCTTTTGCCTTCCTCGATCCCGTTGGGAGCCCCCGCAGCTCCCCAGCTGCTGGATTTTGTTCATCTGGAAAAATCAGAGAAGAAAAGGGAAGGTCCCAGATCCCTCGGGAGCGGGGTTTGGCTCCCCTGCACATCCCTGAGCACATGCAGGGGCTTTGGTTCGTCGCTCACCTGCACGTGTCAAGGGGGGAGCTTACAGGGCACGGGCAGTGCTGGGGACCTGCAGAGAACCCTGGAAACGGAGCTGAGTGACAAACTTTGCTCCTTTTAATACAGCATAGTCCAGGGTGGCATTACAGTTTCCAAAAATCAACCAGAATAACCCCAAAGCACCAGGAAAGGAGTGAAAGCCTCCAAACACCCTCACCGTCCCGGCAGCCCAGGGGATCTCAGAGCTTCGGGAGCCTCCTGTTTGATTTTCCAGAGGCACCAACAAAACCCTCGGTGACATTTGGACTTAATTAAGCAGCCGTCCGTCCGATGGACGCATCCTAATTAATTTGTGGCTCCCCCTCGCACCTCCCGGCCGCCACCTAGCGCCCAGCCCGTCGGGGACAGCGGGGGGGACACCGGGGGGGGCTTTGCGCGAGGGCGCAGAGATTTGGGGACACCGGGATGCTGCAACCCCCCCATCGCCCCCAAACACCCCCCAATGCTCCGTGCTGCACCCCAAAGAGCCCGCGTGACGTCAGCAGCGTGACGTCACATCTCCGGGGAGGGAGGGGGGCATCGGGGGGAGGCGCTCCGGAGGCTCCTTCCTCTTCCTCCTCCTCCTCCTCCTCCTCCTCGCAGGATGCGCGGGGGCTTCCCGGGGCTCTCCCTGGCGCTGCTGGCTGCGGAGAGCGCTGCGAGTGAGTGGGCGCGCAGGGAGCGCGCAGGGAGCGCGCAGGGGGCGCGCAGGGGATGCGCGGGGAGGATAAAGTGGGAGTAAGGGGGGAGTAAAGGGAGGAAAAGGGGAGAAGGCGCTGCGCCCCCTCTGTTCCCCAAGCAAAAGCTTTTTGTATCCGGACACCGCTTTCTCCCCTTTTTTTTTTAAAAAAAAAAAAAAAAAAAAAAAAAAAGATTTTTTTTGAACTTTTTGTTTCTTTTCGAATTCGAATTCCGGCGCCCTTTATCTGAGCCCGCCTTCGGCCAAGCCCCTCGGTGGCGCCGGCTGTGCTGCTGTGACAAGCGGCCCAGGGGCTGGAAGCCCGAGATAAAGGCACGGGCTGCGGATCCTGGGGGAGGCTGCGGGTGGCATCTTTAGGGTGGCATCCCCCAGCACCCTCTCCTTTTCTCCCAGGGCTCGGCACCATCATCCACTACCTGTTGCAGGGGCAACTGGGCTGCTTTTGGCTCACCGTCGCCTGCCTGGCACCCGGCTGCGTGCCTCAGCTCCTCAGCACCCTCTGGTTCAAGGCAGACGGCCGCCCACCCGGCTGCGGGCTTCTCATCCTCCACATCCTGCAGCTGGGCCTCTGGAAGAGGTGAGATCCTCACCCCACGACCCACCCAGCCTCCCTACACCTGCCAAAAAGTTTTGGTGGATGTCCCACGGTGCTGCCCTTTGCAGGTATTGGGATGTTTTACAGCTGGAGGCGAAGGCGGGCGGCAGCGCCGGTGCCGGGGAGGTGCTGCTGCAGCTCGGGGACGTCTGCGTGCTGCGGCTGCTGGAGGCTCTGCTGCAGACCCTGCCGCACCTCCTGCTGCAGGCCTACATCGTCGTGGCTGTCGAGCCCTCCAGCTTTGTGCCCGGTGAGCAGGGAGCTCCCCGGAGGATGCTTCGTGTTGAAAAGGGGGGATGAGTTTGGGTGGGCGACGTGTTCCCACCTGGCAGGGCGCAGAGCGGGCTCTGCGTGGAGAATTGTGCTGCAGAGGGGGTAGGAAGCCCTGATGCAAGGCAATCGGGGATAAATACGGCTTAAAAACACACTGTGGGTGAGCCTGGAGGAGTTTCTGGGCTGACCGTGGCTTTTCCCAGCTGGCACGGGCACTCCTCGCAGCGTAGGGAGCATCTCCGTGGTGCCTCAGTTGGGTTTGGACCCAACACCTGTACCTCAGCTCCAGCCGAATCGTGGTGTGGTGTTAAGCGTTTAGGGCTTGGGGGCTGTGTCATAGAAAAGGGGAATTCCCAGTTGTTTTGCAAAGGGAGAAGCTGGGACACGTGCGAGGTCAGTGTCCAAGTCGTGGCAGGCTCAGGTCCGACCACAGCGGGCGGAGATGGAGCCTCAGGCAAGCATCGGCGCGTAGCAGAGACCAGATTTGGGATGAGCTGCTTGAAATCCTCCAGCAGATAGCATCTGTCTAGCTTGGATGGGTGCTTGATGGCTCCTTCAAGCAGAGACGTGGTCAGGTGTCCTCTGAACCCCCTCAAGACCTCCCCTGTCCCCATGCAGCTGTCAGCGCTGGGCTGTCCCTGCTGTCCCTCTCCTGGGCCTTGGTGTCCTACAGCCGCTTCTCCTGCCTGCTGAAACCCGGCCACGTCCGCCTGCCGGCCGCAGCCCTGCTCTGCCTGCTGCTCTGGAGGACGGGGATGCTGGGGACCCGCGTCCTGGCCCTGGTGCTCTTCACCAGGCTCTATTCCTGCTGGGTTTTGGCTGTGGCAGGTGAGACCCACGCTCCTCAGCTTTTTCACCCCATCCCGTAGGCATCCGGGGAGCCGCTCCCAGCTCCTCCGGGGCCGTTTTGCCCCCCTCTTGGTGCCATCCCCTCACAGGCATCCACTGGCTGCTCATGGCCTTCTGGCTGGTGGCCCAGCAGACCGACATCGTGGCCCAGCCGTGCCGCTGGAGGCTGTTCAATGCCCTGGTGGGAGCCGTGTACGTCTTCTGCTACATCAACGTCCAGCCAGGGGCCTCCAGGCACAGGGTGGCTGTGTTTTACCTGGTGAGTACCCTGGGGGGGGGAGGGCGTGGAAATTCTCTTTTATTTTTATTATTTTTAAGCACCTGATTTTATTTATTTATTTACTTAATAGGCTGGGGAAAAAGTGACTTTTCTCTCCCTTCTGCTCCCCAGGTAATGCTGGTGGAAAACACCCTCCTGCTGCTGCTGGCCACCGACTTCCCGCAGGCAGAGGCGAGGCACAGCCTGGGCGTCACCGGGGCCGTCTTGTCGGGGTCTGCCCTAGGTAAAACCCCCTGAATTTAGCACCTGGATCGCGTGTTTGGAGAGCAGCTGGAGCAAACGAGCTGCTGTTTTAGTTGCATGGGGAATATTTGCTTTATGTCTTCGAGCTTAAGGTTCTGGATTTATTTGGGTATCCCCTAATCCACCTGGAGTTTCAATTCTCAGCTTTATTTCTCAGTTTGGGGTGGAGGTAAGGAGGTGGTGTAATATCAGAGCGGTGAGGTTTGGAGCAGCCTCCTCTCCTGGTGGGGAGTAAATTCGTGAAGAGATGGCTCCGAGTGGCATTGTGGCCAAAATGCGGCCAGGATTCATCCCTTGATGCTTTTCTGCTCTTTTGTAGGCGCCGCAGCTTTGGTGGTTTATTACAGCCTGCTCCACCCCAAGTCCGCAGAGATCTGGGAGGGCTTCCTGGAGAAATCCTGCCGGGCCGCGGCTGCTCGTGACGATCAGGATGCTGGAAGCAGCTCCCAAACAGGGCAAAGTTTGGGAATTTCGGGAGATGGTGAATGCTTGGAGGTGGAAGGGACCACACCGGCTCCCGAAAAGGGGAACGGCTCCTCGCTGCTGCAGGTCAGAGGGTGCTTGGAGGATGCGTGGACAACCCATCACCACTGGCTGCTGGTGAGGCTGGCCTTGAAGACGGGCGACGTGTCCCAAATCAACGCAGCTTTCGGGGACGGTGGCGTGGGAGAGGTGTACGCGGGCAGAACCCAGCCCAGGGCAGAGCTGTGCCTCCCCACGAGGGAAATCGCTCCCGTGCGTCTCGGATCCGACCTGAGAGATGCAAAATTGGGGGTGGTGAGGAAAGGAGGAGACAGCATAGGCGAGGTCGGGGATGAAGCAGTGCAGGAGGATGGAGCAGGGCAGGAGCCTGCTCCTCGCCCTGCCACCTCCCTGCCCAGCAGCTCCTCCGTGGTCCTGGACGAGGTTTCCTCCGTCTACTTCACCGCCAACGCCAGAGGCATCACCTCTGCTGGTGTGGTGACAGCCACGGCCACCTCCACGACCCTGCTGCAAGGGGACAACGAAGCCCGGCCTCCCCCGGGCTGCCTGGCAGGAGGAGGAGGAGGAAGAGGAGAGGATTCATCCCTCGGGCTGGAGAACATCAGCCCCATCCCGGGCTCCTGCGCCCGCCGGCACCTGCAGAGCAGCTCGTCCCTCTGCAGGACAAGTGGCTGCGGGGCAGCAGAGCCCCCCGGAACCCCCATGGGGTGGCATCATCTCCAGGACACCCAGCAGGGGACTGTCCCGAGCAAACTGAGGCCGCCGTGCTTCACCTCCACCCCCAAGACCGAGCCTAAACCCTGCTGCCAGGCAGATGTGGTCCTACACGGCGAGGAAATCGCCTCACCTCCTGGAGCATCTCCTGCTTCTGGAGAGCCTCGGCAGCTGGAATAGCTTAAAGGTCTGGGTTTGGGTATTTATTCAACTTATTTATGTAAAAAAACCCCGACAGGCAGCTGGGGCATCCTGCATTTTAGGCATTTGGGGTGGTGTCGGGAAAGGTGACCTCAAGCAAATGCCTGTAGGAGCTGTGGGTCTGCCCTACGTGGAGACCTGGCTGCTGTCCCCTGGGCTGCAAGGCTGCCCAAAGCAGGAAACTTCTCAGAGTTTTCTCACTAAACCAGAAATTTAACGGGCTTTACCCCTCCTTCTGGGCAGAGCAAGCCCCAAATCAAGGCTCAGCGCTGCTCGGTTTTATTTTTCCTCTTTCTTTGTCCTCCCTGTCCCATCCCCTCCTGCCAGGGTGGAAATTTGGGATCAGGCAAGATGAGGTTGGGAAAGAAAACACATTCCCGGTTTGCCATCCTGCCCTGGTCCACAGAAGGATTTACACCATCCTCGCCGCTCTGATGAGTGATAAATGGATTTAACCCGCTGGGAATTGCCCTGAACATCCTCAGGTTTGTTCTAGCTTTAATCACAAAGCTCAACAAGGGTCAGGAGAAGGTTGGGAGGGCCGCGTCCTACAGCAAAGGTCCCGCAGCAGCGAGCAGAGGGCGAGAAACCACCCCCGGAGCAGCCAGCAAGGGAACGATGCTCCTTGTCCCTCGGCCACCAGAGGGAGATGCTGCCCAAGGCTTCCCGAGCAGGCACCCATGGGGTTTGGGGAGAGGGGTGTGTGGGACCCTCACCACCTCCACATCCCCTATGGGAGCTGCTGGGGGTGAAACGGGGGCTCTGGGGTTCTGGGGGTGGCTCCTTCCAGCTCCCCAAACCTCCCTGGGTCTCGGGGGACTTTGGGGAGCCTCTGCTGGGGTTTCTCCCTCCACAGAAGGGCTGGAAGCTCGGCACGTCCCCACCCCCAGACCCTCCAACGCCCCGGGATAAAGGATTTCTGCTCGTTTGTGGCTGGCGAGCCCGATTTTTGCTCGCTTGGCTCTTCAGGAAACCTTTGGTCATGCCCCAGTGCCACCACTGCCACCACGGTGGGGACGCAAGGAACGGGGCACAAGGAACGGGGTGACAGAGGGTGACAATGTGGGGAGTGACCTGCGGGAACTGCCTGTGCCTCTGGTCACTCACCTGGAAAAAAAGGAGCAGGAACGGAGCCCGTGGCCCTCCCGGAGCCACAAACAATGCCCAGGGCAGCACCGGGGCTTGGGGACACAGCCAGCACTGTCCCCTGAACCCCAATCCCCTCCTGGGGTGGTTCTGAGCAAGGTCCAAAAAAAAAAATGTTTTGGAAGGTGGTGGGAGGACACGAGGGGTGGTCGCAGCCCATCCAGCAGCGGGTTTGGGGTCTGGCCTCGTCCACCCATGGGGATTTAAAGAGGGGAAGGTCCAGGAGCTCCTGCCCTCGGCTGCTGCTTTGGGTCAAGGCACGGCGCAAACCACCCAGCTCCGAGGTGATGCAAGGCCCTGAGCCAACCCCAGGATGATTTACCCACAAAGCAAAAAAAAAAACATTCTCACTTCCAAAAATACCAAAACAGCTGAATTAGAGAAAAATATTTGCCCCCGGGTGCTGTTGGTTGTTTTTTTCCAAGCCGTGACTCGGGACGGTTTTTGGTTCCCTTTTTGGTGCTTTGCCTGTTCCCGTAAAGGGCACGGGGAACCCGGGGGCTCATCAGGCCCCTAATGAGGGCTGTGCCTTAATGAGACCCCCAAGGACCGTGCTTTGTGTGCAGGATTGGGGCCGGGGAACCAATTTTGTGGGATCAGGATCAGGACCGGGACTGCTCAGCTCCGTTTTGGGGGGATTTTGGGCGGCAAGGGGTCCGCGGGGATGCTGCGGGAGGAAAGAGCCGGCACTGCTGGAATAAGGGGGACCCTAAAAGCGGCCTTAAAAGAGGGGGGGGGGACACCGGGACACGCGTGGGGTGGGCACGGACACGGGTGGGTGCGGGGATGGGGACGGGGGGGCGCGGGGATGGGGGGCGCAGGGAAGGGGGGCGCAGGGATGAGGGGCGCAGGGATGAGGGGCGCAGGGATGGGGGGCGCGGACACGAGTAGGATGGTGGGATGGGGACACGGGGGGGGTGGAGGGGACACGGAGGGGACCCGGGGGGGGCCGTGTCCAGCCCAGCAGCCGGGGGTGGGACCGGGGAGGGGTTTTGCGGGGCGGCGGCGCCTGCGCGGGGCGGCGGCGGAGCTCCGCGAAGTTGTGCGGGGCCCGGGGAAGTTTTTGGGGAGGCGGCTCCCGGTGCCCAGCCCCGGTTCCCGGGTGTGTCCCGGTCCCGGTGCCGGTGCCGGTGGCTTTCCCGGTGCCGGTGCCGGTGCCGGTACCGGGCCGGCCATGGCTTTTCGGAGGCGAGCCAAGAGCCACCCGCTCTTCAGCCAGGAGTTCCTCATCCACAACCACGCCGACATCGGCTTCTGCCTGGTGCTCATCGTCTTCATCGCCCTCATGTTCGAGGTGAGAGCCCCCCGCCGCCCCCCCCAAGGCTCCCCCACTCCCCACGGTCCCGTTTCCCACGCGTGCCCCCCCCCCCCTCAGGACACCCGCACCCATCTCCGTGTGTCCCCCCCCCTCCTGCTGTGGATGGGGCACCCTGGGTGCCCCTCACCCTATTACACCCCCCCCAGGGGCTGTGGGGCAGATCCCCGCTGTTTTGGGGGCACCAGACCCTCTCCATCCTCGGGGCAGCCCATTTATCCTCGGGGCACCCCATTAATTCTTGGGAACCCCATTAATCCTCGAGGCACCCCATTAATTCCTGGGGCACCCCATTAATCCTCGAGGCACCCCATTAATCCTTGGAGAACCCCATTAACCCCCAGGGCACTCCATTCACCCCCCACCAGCAGTGGGACCCCCCCCCTGTTCCCCCAAACCCTCCCAAAACAGACCCAGCCGTGTGCAGGACCCCACCGCTGCCTTTTGGGGTGCCCCATCTCCACCCCAAATAAAACCCTTTAGCACCACTGAGGCTCACGGGTCTCCGCTGGGTGCTCGCCAACCTCGCTTCTCCTTTTGGCTCCCCAAAATCTGCCTCCCTTGCTGGGGAGGGTCCCTGCCCCACACGGCCCCCCGAGCACCATCGGCCTCCCGTCCCGTGCCCGGAGGCTGCCTCGACCCCCGGCCTCCTGCGAGGAAACCTCGAGCCCCGGTGGATGCTTCCAGGTCTCGTTTTGGGGCTATTCCTCCACTTTGTCCCCTTTCCAGGTGCTTTTTCCAGGTGCCGTGGGATGAGCACCGCGGGCTCCTGGGCCCCCGGCCTCCCCTCGTCCTCCGCAGGGAAACTTTGGGTTGGCGAGAGCCCCACAAAGGCCGAGCAGCGCCTTGAACGCCGCCTCTCCCGCTTCTCCTTCCCTCTCCCAGCTCCCTTTTCTCTCTTTTCTTTTTTTATTTTTTTTCCTTTTTCCTCTCCTCTTTTCGGGGAGGAGACAGGGGAGGGCTGGAGGCCGCTGCGCAGCCTTCACCCTCTCCGGCCTCCCTACGTGGAGGCACCTCGGGTGGGCAGCGGCCGGAGCGGATCCCCCCTAAAACCCTGCCCAAACCCTCCCCTCCAGCCCAGTGCCACGTTTCAACTGGGAATCCGGGGACGGGAAAAGGGGTGGCCGGGGAAGAAGGGGGCCTGGCAGAGGAGGAAAGGCTCCTTCTCCAGCAAATCGCAGGAGGAGGAAATCCATTTCCTTACCCCCCTCCCGATGGCAGCCCCCTCCTCTTTGCTTTTCTTTTATTTATTTTTTTTTTTTTTCCTTTTCCTGACTTCTTTTTTGCTTTTTGTTTTTTTCTTCCTGCAAAGGCGTTGAATGAGCTGCTTGAGTGCGTGGCAGGGATTTATGTAAGGGACGGCTCCTAAAGCTCCGGCGGGAGGGCCGGCGCCCGTCCCAAAACCGCCCGCAAATGCCCCGAAGTTGGGCAAAAAAAAAAAAAAAAAAAAGAAAAAAAAAAAAAAGAAAAAAAAATTGCCAGGGTTGCATCTCCCACGAGGTTTTCTCTCCTCGCAGCTGCTGCTTTCAGGGTGCTGCTGCTTTTGTGGGATTTCAGGGGCCGTGACACCCCAAGGGGTGGTTTTCCCAAAATAACCCCTCTCCGATGCGAGCAGTGACCCCCCCGGAGGGCTCTTGTGTTATTATCATTATTATCACTGCTGTTACTATTATATTATATTTTGTTTTCCTCCTGCTTTGTCTTCCCCCGGAGGAGAAATCCTGCTCTGCTCTTCCCCGGGCCCCCCCCCGAGCCGCCCCCGCGGTGAGTTTGGGTGGCAGCTCGGCCGTGTCACCTCCCGGTGACATCCCCGGCCCTTCCTCCTCCTCATCCTCCCCCTGGTCCCGCTGGCTTCCCACCTTCCCGACGGCGGAAACGGCCGAGTCCTGCTCACAATGGGGCCGTTTCCTGCGGAGGGGAGGGTTTGTGGGGCACGCAAACGGGATTTTTTAACCTTTTCCCAGGCAGCCCCGCGCCGGGCGGGGTGGAGGGGATGCTCCAAGGCTCGCCGAGCATCTCCCCGCCTCGAAACCCACCTCCAGCATCCTCTTTGGCTCACGACCTCTTCCCATTCCCGGCGGATCGATGGCACAAGGAGCCCAGTCCGCTTTTGGGGTGCTGCCCTGGCCGATTTGGGGACGGGGCGCTGGTTATTGGGGTGCCGTGCACCTCATGGGGATGTGCAGGAGGGCACTGAAAAGTTTCTGTGGTTTTTGTTGTGTTGTTTTTTTTTTCCTCCCAAACCATTTTAAGTTTGGAAACGCGAAACAGCTGCTCTCCGTCTTTGCATATCTTTCTTTCTTTTTTTTCTTTGTCACCCTTTTTGGCAGAAAAATGAAACTGAAGCTGGGCTCGGCTAAGCCCCCAGCTGTCCAGCTTGCATCAGGGCGCACGGTGCAGGGCCGGGCAGCATCCTCACGGGCTGAATTTGGGGGAAATGGTGCCGTTTTGGGGGATTTCTCTATCAGATGCTGCGATCTGTGCATGATGGGGAAACCGAGGCACGGTTTTAGGGCTCCTTCTCACCCAGAACCATCTGCTGTGGGCACGTGGGGACAGGGCTCGGTGTGTGCTGAGGGCATTTGGGGTTCAATATCAGACCTGGAAGGGCTCGAGGCTGCCTGGAATAGGGTCACAGGCCGGGATTTCGTGCAGAAGTGACTTTTCCCCGGCCACCACGGCTGTGCTGGTGACCCCGGACAGCGGAGGGGCTGTGAAGGCGGCTGTTTACCTTCCAGGGCTCTGGTCCAAAGTTTGGTCTCCGGTGTACATACAGGGCCTGGGTTGAGCCATCCCGGCTTGGGGGCTGATGGTTTTGCTTTCAGCAAAGGCTCTGGCCGGTGGAGGGGAAGAAAACGGAGCAAAATCTCCCGATGGTGTTTTATCTGTAATTAGAAGTTGTTTTTCAAGCCCAGGAAATATTTTCCCAGCTTGGGCTGCAGCAGCTCCCCCGGCCTCCCCCGCCGGGGCTTTGGAGCCGCTTCCTTCCTCGGGAGGAGCTGGAACCCGAACGGGAGCGTGGCTGGGACCCCACAAATCTCACTGGGGTGAGGTTTTGGGGTGCAGGCAGCGGGGACAGATTTTGGAGAGCGACTTGGTGCTTCCCTGGGAAAGGATGCTCATGGTTGATTGAGCCCAAAGGGCGCTGGCATCCCGAGGGACCTGGACAGGCAGGAGAGGGGCCATGGCCACCAGGACATGGGGCCATGGGGCTGGGCACCCTACAGGGGCACCCAGGGGTGTCCCCAAGCCCCAGCTGTGCTGTGATCCTGGGATTTTGGGGTAGGTGCTTGGATGCGTGCGCTCAGGGTCCTTTATTACAAGCAGCTTGCATGCTTGTACACGTGAAGTTGGGATTTTGGTTGGACTCTTGTCTCATGGGGAAAAAAACATCAAAAAAGGGCCGGGGAAGCTTCGGTGCTTTGTATCAGAGACCAAACCCAGGTGATGTGCAGCTTTGATGCGTGGCTGCATCGCCCCGTGAGGAGCAGCCCAGGCCACTCTGAGCATCCCACCTTCCCAAATCCACCTGATTTAAGCACATCCCTCATGCCAGGCAGGGTGAGGAGCATCTTCCTCACCCCTTTGGGTTGCACAGGGGTGCCTGGAGCAAGCAAGGAGTGCAGAGCATTTCCCGTATGGTCCCCACGTGGCTTGGCCAGACGAATCCTGCTCCCACCTTTGAAAAATTCCCTCACCGGGCTCTGGTTTCAGAACGAGCACCGCTGCAGGTCTTGTGCCTCTGAATAATGCTCGCCCTGCTCTTCCCGTTACCAACTTCTCCTTTCTCTGGCCGAGAGCTTGATGTGAGCTGAAAAGCACCGCCAGCTGCTTCCCGAGCTGAGAAATCCTCGGCTCTGCCTTGCAGGGGAGCTGGAGGTGCCCTTCTGGAGGTGCCCTTCATGTCGAAGTGGTGGGGAGGATGCTCTGAGCCCTCAAAAAGCCCCGGGACTGCCTCCAAATACTGCAAGTGATGCTCCCGTGTTGCCCACCAGCACCCACGGGGCTGGTTACGGCCCCTCTGGCTGGTTAGGAGGCTTCATCCCGGGGGTGCCACCTCTGGGTGGCAGCCAGACAGAGGCAAAAACCCCAAAGGCACACCCCTGCAGCATCGTGGCCAGCACTGAGCTGGCATTTACCTCGTGTCCTGCACCAGCTCGCCGTGGGGTTTGGCTGCACGGTCCCGGCCGTGCCGTGGCTCTCTGAGTGAAGGAACTTCTCTTTTTCCTCTCCAGCAAGGCTCGCAGGAGCCAGGAGCGTCTCCGTAAGCCAGCCACGCGATGCATTTTTTCCATTACCACCCCAAATCCTGCCCGTGGTCTCCTTCTCCTCGGGCACTTTGCGTCTTGTTTCTCCGCGAGCGTTTCGGTGCCGGGGCAGCCAAGCTCCAGCCCCTTGCTCAATGCTCCTGGGGGTGGGACGGGAGCACTTGGCAAAGCCCCCGGGTTGTTTTTTCAACCCCCCCACCTCCTTCCAGCCGCGTCCTGCGAGACGTGAAGCAATCTTTCCAGCTGGGTTTTTAACAGCCTGCAGCTCTCGAGATGTCTGGGGGAAGCGCAGCAGCGGGGTGGGATGCTCGGCTCTGCCCCATCGCCATGAATCCTCCTGCTTCACGGCCAGGGCATCGTTCCCTTCGATTAAAAGGGATAAATGAAGAGCGAGCAGCACAGCCCTGCTTTGCAGAGGACCCAATGTCTCATCCCAAGGGTTTTATTTCGTTTGATTTCATCTGGGGGTTGAGAGAGGGACAGAGACGCGCAGAGCTCAGTGAGGCTACAGCAAGGGTCACACCTGGATGGGTGCTGCTGGAGGGATGCAATAGGAATCCTCAGTCCTCAGTAGGAAGCAGGATCTCCCCCCGTCAGGCTTTGCTGGCTTCTCCAGCTCTCTCCCTCTTTTATCCACCCCTTTCTCCTTCCCAAATCTCTGCTCCCATCACCTGCTGCCTGCACATCTCCCTTCTGTCCCGCTCGCATCCCCTTTCCCAGCATGGTAGGAAAAGGGAACAAAGGCTGGCAGAGGAATTAATTAATGAATTTATCAATGAATTTGCTTTCTCCCCCCCAACTCCTGTGTGTTTTTGACAGGTCACAGCCAAGACAGCCTTCCTGTTTATCTTACCTCAGTACAACGTCAGTGTGCCCACGGCAGGTAAGAGGCGCTGCTGTCCCCATGCGATTGCCCCAAATCCCCAAAATGGGGAAGCCCCAAATCGGCTTCCACCAATGTAGGCTGCTTGGGTCTCACCTGGTGGTACAGAAAACTTGAAAAATCAGAAATAGGGGGAAGCAGGGCTCAGTCCCTGCTTGTATTTTGGCTGCTGCCTCCCAGCCTGGCAGTGATTTAGGCACCGGCGTGGGCCAAAGGCTCGGGGCACAGAAAGCCACCCCTAAGGAGAAGCTGAGAAATCATCCAGCTGATGATCAGGGTGGTTGGGATTAATGAAAATAAGGAGAGGGGAGATGGTAGGTCTGCCGTGCACGTCCCTGAATGTCAGGGTTGAGGAACTCGGCCTGCTTCCAGATTAAATTGTGGTCTGCGCTCCCCCAGAGCCCAGTCCAGACGGTTTCCGCTGCCTGTGCGCTGGGTGATTTATCCCTCCCTGCTGTCAGGAATCCCAGGGGCTCTGTAATCACCTTGCTTGGGGTGTGTGACAAGCAGAGAAGAAGCTGTCCCCTCTCTGCTGATGACCTAACCCAGGCTGGAGCCCTTTTTCCCAGCCCTGCAGCCCTTGGCACAGTCCTCACCTCTCTCTGCCTCCAAAACGGACGGCCCCAACCGAGCTGTGTCGGGAATAACCCCGCCCCAGAAGACTTAAGCCCTTGGAAATGTAGGAAATGGGTTGGGTTGGGAGATTTGACCCCAGGTTTGGTCTCTCTGCAGACGGGGAGCTGGTCCAGTATCACTACGGGCTGAAGGACCTGGTCACCATCCTCTTCTACATCTTCATCGCCATCATCCTGCACGCGGTGGTGCAGGAGTATGCCCTGGACGTGAGTGTGTTTGGTGTCTTGGGTTGATGAAATATCTCAAATACCATGGTGGGGACATGGTCCTGCTGCAGTTAAACACGGCTCTGGTGTGATCCATGGGCTGGGGTGGCCACGTGTGAGCCTTCATCTCTGGGGGCTGCTTGGGACGGGGAGGAAGAGGAGGAAGGAGGGTTGTTGGCCCGGCGGCTCACATTTTCTTGTTCCTTTTCTCTCCCTCGGGCCCATCCCAGAAAATCAACAGGCGTCTCCATCTCTCCAAGGTCAAACACAGCAAGTTCAATGAGTCGGGGCAGCTCGTCGCCTTCCACCTCACCTCCTTGATTTGGTGCTTGTACGTCGTCGTGACGGTGAGGGCGCGGTGCCGGCAGCACTTGGGGTTCCCCGGGTGGAATTTTGGGTGTCTGGAGCACAAAACTCCCATGGGAGCAAATAATTCACGATCAACCCTTGGGCTGAGATGGGCACATTTTAGCAAAAGTTTAACACAAGACCCCTGTGAGAAATAGGGGAAGGAATGGGCTTGACCTGGGGTTTGGTTCCTGCGATGCTGCTCATGGATCTGCTCACCCCACCGATGCCAGCAGGGCTGGAGAAGCAGCATAACGACGAAGCCGTGTGCTGCTGAGAGCTCTTTTCCATGCCTGCAGATGTTAAAAAAAAAACCAAACACTTGGTTTTGGTCCTAAGCAACGTGATGGGGGAGTGGGAACGTGGACAGGACCAGGGTTTGAAGGGGACTGCAGAACGGTAGCAGGGACAGAGGGTCCCCATGGGGCGTGGGGAGCAGAAGAAGAAAATCCTGGAAAAGAAATGTGCTGATTTTGCCCTGTGAAAGGCTGGGTGGGATGAGTTACTTTGGCTGCAGCTTGTGGGTCCTTCTGTCCTTCTGCTGACCTTGGAAGGGATTTGGGGCAAACAGGCAGATGTCCGTGATCCCTCTCTTGGTGAGGTGGCCGTGGTGGCGGACGCAGAGAAAAAGGGAAACCATGCAGTGCCTCGGGTTGTTTTGGGGATGTTTCAGCCCAAAGCAGACGGGAGAAAAACTTGGAGTGGAATCGTTTCATATTTTTTTGGAGAAAGGGAGGGAAAAACAACAGACGGCGTGGGGAAGATGGGATGGATTTGGCAGCGTGAAGCAGTGAGGATGCTCTGCTACCGGTTGGGGTCTAGCTGTGGTCCATGGCTTGGGGATGCTCGGGGAGAGGTCCTCTCCTGCTGCTCAGGGGTCCTGCCAGCCCTCCTTGGAGGACCTCGGCCACCTCCAGACTGACCTTTTTGGGGACTGCAGGCCGTGTTCCTATCCTAGGCTGCATGGAACGGGACATCCTAGCAAAGCCCAGCACAGCAGCCCTGTGGCAGGAGCTGTGCTTGTGTGGAACAAGAGGGGAGCCCCTGGAATCCGCCCTGCAAAGACAGGGGAACGCGTGTGGGTGGAGAATTAAAACTGTGCAATGCATCTTGAATTATTTCTGTGGGTGTGTGAGTCCTTCCCCAGCTCTCCTGCAGCCCCTCAGGCCTGGGCAGGCCGCTGGGAGGTCTCCCCGGAGCCTTCTCCTCCCCAGGCCCAACACCCCCAGCTCCCTCAGATGGCTCCAGAGCAGAGGGGCTCCAGCCTCTGCTCCTCCTCGGGGCCTCCTCTGGGCCACCCCCAGTTCCTATTTTCACTCCAGCACTAACCCACCCCACTGTACCCACGCGCTGCCTTGATTTCCCTCACTGAAGGCTTGCCTCTCTTCTCTTTTTCAGGAAGGATACATATCGAACCCCCGGAGTTTGTGGGAAAACTACCCGCATGTTTATCTTCCGTAAGTGCTCACAAGGGCATTTTGTTCTCGGGCTGACCGCTTCCTTCCTCTCTACGGTTTTCCCTGTGGCTGGGAGCGGGGTGCTGACGGCGCAGCGCCCTCCGCACGCATCCCGGCGGTGGCCATCTCCTTTGTGCTTGTGGGGAGGGTGTTCCCGGAGGGCTGCCTTCGTGAAGAAGGTCCTCACAGCTTGGTTATTCACCCTGGATGCTGCAGCACCTCGGGCAGGTTGCTTTGCTCTTTGTTTTTTTTTGTGTGGTAGAAACAAAGTGGGGGGATAATTCTCCCTTCTGGGTTTTTTTTGCAAGAGTGTGGTTTGCTGAGAGCGTGGGCACAAAGCCCTGGAGAGAGCCCAGACTCGGCCAAGTGGATGATTTCAGCCCAGAAATGATGCCTGTGAAAGGGGCATCGCCTGGTGCGGGGTGGCCGGGGATCCCCCCGTGCCCCTACAGCTCCACCCCGTGCCTTTCAGGTTCCAGGTGAAGTTTTTCTACCTGTGCCAGCTGGCCTACTGGCTGCACGCGCTGCCGGAGCTCTACTTCCAAAAAGTCCGCAAGGTGAGAGCCGCATCGGGACCCGAGGCTCTTCGCCCTCTGGTTTTAGGGCAAGTGGGATCCGGGAGAGGTGGGGACGGAGCGGGGCGAGGGGATTCATTCTGCTTTCTGCCCCTGCCAGGAGGACATCCCCCGCCAGCTGCAGTGCATCGCGCTCTACCTGGCACACATCGCCGGCGCGTACCTCCTCAAGTGAGTCCCTGCCCCGGGCTCGGGGCTGTGCAGGATTGGGATTTTTTTGCCCCAAAAGCTTCAGCCGGGGTTGGGGGTCAAAGGGAGGAAAGGCGGCTGGGCTGAAGTTGAGCTTCTGGCTGCGGGATGGTAGATGAGGGGCTTTTATGGTGGTAAAGCTGCCGGTTTGGGCTGCTTCATCTCCTCGTTGCTTTGATGTTTTCGGGACAGGGATTTGGGGCGAGACGGCCAGCTTTGGGCTGGTGCTTGCTGCAGCTATGGGATGGCAGATGTGAAGGACCAAAGCCAACCAGCCCAGTGATACTCACTTCTTCTCCCTCTCCTCCTAGCTTAAGCCGCCTGGGGCTGATCCTCTTGCTGCTGCAGTATTTAGCCGAATTCTTCTTCCACATGGCCCGCCTGGTCTACTTCACGGACGAGAACAACGAGAAGCTGTACGTGGGCGAGTCGGGAGGAGGAAGGGGCTGTTGAGCTGGCCGTGCTGGTGGGCTCGGAGGTGGGATGTGCAAGGAAGAGAGGTCTACGAAATGCTTCTCCAGCGTGTCCTGTCCTTGTGCTGCCGTCGAGGGGCCGTGCTGATGGAGTGACCTGCTGGGAAGGTGGCCGCGGGGCACGGAGGCTGCTCCTGCCGACACTTCTGCTTGCCTCTCCCTCCAGGTTTAACGTCTGGGCTGTTGTCTTCGTGGTCACCAGGCTCTTCACCCTCACCCTGTACATCTTGGTCATCGGCTTCGGGCTGCCACGGGTGGAGAACCAGGCCCTCGAGCCGGAGAAGGGGAATCTCTTCAGCTTCCTCTTCAACAACATCCTCTTCAGGTAGGGATGTCCCCCGCCTGCTCCCTCTTTGCATCGTTTCGCGTGGCTGCTGGCACGTGAAAACCTCCCCCGTTGTGTTCCTTGGTTGTTCTCCTGGCGTGGGCGAGAAAAGCTGAGTTTGGAAAGCCCAGAGGGGATCTGAAACCCTCTCTGGGGAAAGTCCTGGTGAGCGGGGAAGGTGTGCGGGCAGCCAGCAGGGGTGAAGGCTCCTGAGCCACGGCAGCAATTAAATTAAGTTGTTAATTGAGGGAAATATCCAGTTGTAAAGGATGAGCGGAAGCAGGCACCGTAGGGAAGGACTCACAAGTTCTCCCGTCTGCGCCCGTAACTGTGCTCATGGGGATGTGGTCAATGGAAAGGAGTTTTTCCATCTGCTTGGCTGTGTTTTGGTGCCTGTTGACGTGGGGAGCAGAGGAGAGGATGGGTTCCCTGTGCCTTGCCGTCTGCCCACCGGGGCTGGGAGCCCTTCTCACCATGCAGCTTCACTTCCAAAATCGCTAGGACTGGTGCCTGGCATCCATCCAGTCATTCCCAAGCTTTTTCAAGCCATGGGTTACACCTGAGGATTCAGGGGACTCCCCAAGCTCCTTTCCAACCTTGTAGAGAGCAGCTGGGGTTGGTTTCCCCTGGCAAAGATGGGTTGGACGATGCTGGTCGAGGTGACCACCCGCTCCTTGAAGGCCCTTGGCCAACGCTGCGGGTCGGAGGCCGGGTTTGTTGCGGCCCTGCTCCTTTTTTTTTTTTTCTCAGCCTGCCTCTTCTCCGCCCTTGCCAGAATGAGTGTGCTGCTGTTGGTGTGCCTCTTCCAGGCCTCGGTGATGTGGCGCTTCATCCACTTCCAGCTGCGGCGCTGGCGGGAGTACTGGCACGAGCAGAGCAGTCGGAAGCGAGCCGCCGCCGCCACCGCCGGCGCCAAGCAGCAAGCCAAGCCTCTCAAGAGGGACTCGGGTGAGCATCGACGGGCCCCCGGGGGTGGCACCGTGTGGAGCTGTGTCTTTGGTACCTGCCTCTCTTGCTGAGCGTGGGGCAATGTCCCAGGGCGATGTGCCGTGGGGCAGCCCCGAGAGGGTTTGAGGTTTGGGGCCGTGTGGGGTGAGGCAGGGTGACGTTTTCTCTCTCTCCATCCCCAGGTTACCACGAAAACGGAGTGGTGAAGGCGGAGAACGGCACCTCGCCGCGAACCAAGAAGCTGAAGTCGCCGTAAGGAGCGAGGGGAGCTCCTGGGGAGGAGGGCGAGACACCAGGACTATGGGACCAGCCCGACCTCCCGGGCCTCGCGAGCGGCTGGCACACACAGGTCATCCTCCCAAGGTGTCTCTCGCTCTCCTCCCTGCCTTTCTTGCTCTCTCAAACCGTTTGCAATAAAACCAAAAAGGTCCCCTTCCCCTGCTCCCTCCCCCTCGTAGGAGCCTTTTCCGAGCCTCCTGGTTTTGCCTTCCTCGTTTCCACCGTAAATAAGCGTGCAATTTTGGTTTTCTACTTTAGTATTTGGTTATTTTGTTGTTCGATTCATTTTTTTGTTGTTGTTACAAACGCATTGTAGGTGGTTCCGAACATTATTATTATGTTTTTGTTTCTACAGCATGCTTCTCCCCTCCCTCTGTGCTGCTTCCCCGAGCCCCCGGGTCAGGGCCGTGGCAGTTTGAAGGCTCCGCGTGTCTCTTTTGGGATCAGGCTCCTGGGGAAAAGCTCTGGGGCTCTGTGACCCGAGGCTCAGGGTGATCTCAGCTGAGGGTTGCCTCTCCTGGGGCACACCTGGCCAGCACTTGGCACGTGCTGCGGGATGTCGATGCTGCAAATAGGGACCAGGGGCTGAGGGAGGAACCTCAGCCGTGTGCTGTCTCACGATGGACTTGTGGTTGAGGAGGGTTCCTCCAGCTCCTGGTTTTGAGCTAATTTTGGAGATGTGGGCAGCAGGGAAGGGAGAGAAAATCCCTCTTCCTATAGGACCCGTGTCCTAGTCTTTGCTTGCCTCAGTTCTTCTGGTACAGCCAGGTCCCTTTTATCCTCTTGACCGCCCCGTAGTTGTTTGGACCTCCCAGCAGTGAGAGCTGGGCTCGGGGCGCCGCAGCTCATCGTGCCTTGTTGTGGGGCAGTGATATCCTCAGGTCCAGCTGAAACCTGGAGCCCTGCCCCGCTCTGAGCTCCTGTCAGCCTCGTGTGCCTCCTGGACCTGGTGTTCTCATGGCTCGTAACCACGTCCAGCTGAGCAAACTGGCTGCTGCAAGGGGGTTTTGTGTTTATGGGACTGTGCCCCTCGTGCTATCGCCGTAGCCTTCCTCGTCCCTTTCGTACCGGTCCAGCCGTGCCACCTGCAGCCACCAGCTTCTCTTTGTTTCTGAAGGATACACGGCCTGTATCCACCCAAGGTGCTATCAAATGCAGGGTTTCTTCCAAAAAATACCTACCCCCTTCGTCCCTTTCTGAGCTGTGAATGAGGTGACGTGGAAGGGGAAGGAAGGGCGGCTGCAAGGAGCAGCTCGTGCAGTAGGAAAGGCCTGACCTGTGGGCAGATGGAGTTGTCTCAAACCTACCTCAGAGGCCAGCTGTGGCTGCAGACCACTCTTCCCTCTTTCTCCTGCCCGCTGCCACCCGTACATCTTGGCAGGAGAAGCCCAAATCCCACCGGCTCGGTCCCCTGCTGCCTCTTTGCCGGTGGGCAGCATCTTCTGCCCGGGGTTTCACGGGGCACCGGGCTTCTCTGGGTGCCATGCACCAGCCTGGATTGGGCAGGTGGGCGCTGAAGGGGCACCTCTCACCCCGTAGCTCTCCTCCGGGGATGCTTCTGTAGCCGGGCTTTGCTGTTGGTGCCTTTTGTGCAGCAAAGCCGGCTGTAGGCTTCGCTCTGCATCGCTATGGCAGGAGCAGGGGAGCGGTGCGCGGGGTCCGGGAGAGGCTGGGAAGCCTTTGGTGCGCAAGTCGGGATCGAAGCCCACCTTCCTCGTGGGCAGGGGGGACGCGTGGTCTCGTGGTGTGTCCCTCGCTCAGCCCTGCAGGTGGCTGAGCTGAATCCGAGCGTGATTCGAGCTCGGGCTCTCGTGCAGTGAGGCTGGCACAGTTGTCTTTCATACCTTTTTTATTCCATCCCTGTTTTGGGGAATAGGAGACAGTTGGTTCTCTGCCACACTTTGAGTTGTTTTTTTTCTCCCTCTCTTTTTGTAGGTGTCTTTTTTCCTTTCCTCCTCCTCTCCGTGTTGAGCCTCAGCTAATGCTGGGCACCAGAGGGAGAAAATACGTAGGGACATGAGTACAGTCGGTCAAATTCCGCTTGTTCCTCCATCTCTGTGACTTCTGGGTGTCAAACAAGATACCAGCAGGATTCCAGGGGAAGGATTCCCTCCCCCTTTTTCAGGAGAACTGAGGAAGGAGATTTTGGAGCAGAGCCCTTGATGGCACCTTGCAGTTGCTCCTCGTAGTCCTTGCTGGGCAGATAATTCACCATTTGGCTCAAACAGAGGCAGTGCAACGTGATGAGAGGGCAGGGAAAGAGCTTCATGTGAGGAAATATGGGGAAAAAGGTCTGGTGCGAGACGCTTTTCCTTTCACTGCCTCCTCCTTCCCCAGCCACCCGCTGCCACGTGCCCTCCAGGAGCACCCGGTGGACAGCGTCTCCGGAGCCAGTGCTGGGGCACTGGCTCTGTTAACAACTGACACAAACAATCCCCCAAAAAACTGGCTGCTGAATGATTCCTCCTCCTGCCTGCTTCGCTTCAGGCAGCTTTCCCACTTGCACAACCCTGCGTCTCCACGAAGTCACTACTTGTGTGTTGGATCCCAAGTGCCTTATGTTGCCAGGTAGCCTCCTGTGCTAGATCCGTGTGCTGTGTACCCGAAAGCCTTCCCTCTCTACGAATTATGTACAGCGTATGCCACATCCGTGTATTTTTGTTTGTTTGTTGGTTTTTTATGTTGTCTTTTTTTTTCATAGAGCTACCAGTACAAGGGACAGTTTGGTTTGGAAACATTTCCATGTTGCTTATTTCGGGTTGGGTTGGTTTTTTAAACCTAGAGCTGATGTTTGTTGTTGGTTGTTTGTTGTTGTTGTTTTTTTCCCTCCCATCTTTAGTCTCTTCTGAAATCTCTTGTTGTGCCTGAGCGTGGCATGACCCCGTTGTTTTTCTGTGCTGAGCCTTTGCTGCGAGGCAGCACTCACCCTCGTCCCAGAGGTTTCCAGTCTGTCTGCTTCTGTCTCCGTCTTGTAGTGCAAACACCATCCCCAGGCTGCGAGCCTGCAGCAGCTCCTTTGTGTCCACGGCATTTCTCAGCAGACCAAGCCTTCTTCTCAGCCCAAAAAGCTATTTTTTCCCCCAGATGGGGAATTTCCATTGCAAGCCCTTAGCAGTCCTCGACTGCTTTGTGTAGAGATGCTGAGAGCCCCCTTTCACTGAGCGGATGCTCTTCTTGCGCCCCATCCAGTCCAGCCCCGTGTCTTCTGCAATAAAAAAGAAAACCCAACAAACCCAACCCCAAACAGGAGCTCTTGTCTGCCACAGCGTGGAAACTGGTAGAGACTACCCAAAACTTGCAAGTTCCTACTCCTGGTGTAACGCTTTTGCTTGCTCTGCACCCTTCCTTGTGGGCATGAGACTGCTTTTGTAGTCTGTGTCCATTACAGACCTAAGGTCGGGGACTGAGTACTCCGTGATTTTTGGTGTGATTTTTGGTTTTCCTGCCCTAGCCTAGGAAAGCTTTTGAAAAAAAACGACAGTAGTTCTCTCTTTTTGTCTTAGATAGCTGGGGTAATGGGCTTGGGAAGAGAAGGGGGTTGAGGAAGAACAGATGTAGCATTTCACTTACAATGTCTGAGTGACTCTTACATTATGGGGCATTACGGTTATGTTGTTTTTGTTTAGGATTCTTTCTTCTTACTCATTTTGGGGTTAGTGGTAAAGAAAACAAGTTCCAGTTTCCCCGTAGGTCCCCTTGCCCTTAACTCACTGTTTGAAGATGTATTTTTGGTAGGCTTCCCTGCTGGAGGGGAGAAAGGACTGCTCTAGGATGCCTCCCCCTGACCCCAAGTTACTCTGAAGCCTGTAGGTACCCCGGCTCTGTTGCAGTCCGTGGGGATTTATGGCAGCACCTGCCTCTCGCCTCGGATGAACTCTTGGTAGATGGACCCCGACGTGCATCAACAGGAGGTGGAGATTCTGGGCTGTGATTTACAGCCTTCCTGTAAGCTTTAGGAGCGTGCTGTAGACAGTTTGGCAGGCTCGACACTCAAACTGTGAAGTATGTTACTTAGCCTCGGGGCCCGGGGCAGTGGTTGCTGGCAGTGGGTTGTTGTAAACGCCAGGCGGAGGCACAAAGCTTTTCCTTGGACACGTTGGGCTCCACGGACCAAACTTCAGCAAAGGAACCCAAGGAAAAATTCTGTTCTTCCATATTTAGTGCAAAAAGTTCCTGATTTTGGAGGGGGCGGGGGGGGGGAAGTGACCGCCTCCGATATTTTATCTCATTTGTTTCATCCTTCCTGTCACTTCAAATTTTTTTGTACGTTTTTTTTGTTTGTTTGTTGACGTTTGTTGTTAAATGACTTTTGTGATAAACTCAACAAAAGTATTTTCTGAAATAAATAAATAAAAGGCATAGATTCCTCCACTGCTGCTGTTCACCGATGCTTTATCGCGGTGCTGAGTTGTATGGTTTCACAGAGCAGGCTGGGGTGGGTTGTACTTCTCCTCCTCCTGCCGTGCTAGACGAGTCTGTTCCCTTTGCTGTGGCATCTATTGCCCTCAGATTCCCCACAGCTGCGGCTCCCATTCCTGAATTTTCCGTGTCATAGGCAGCTGCTTCTGAGTTAGTTATCTGTGGCTGCCTCGCTCGCTGGGAGTGGAGGATAAGGGCATTTGGGGGATATGATTTATTTGATGTGGCTTTGGTGCATGCTTTCTGGTGAGCTAAATTGTATACTTTCCGCAGCTGGCCCTGGGCATGATACACGATTTGGTTGAGTATTAGGTTACCGTTTCATAGCATGTAGAGGAAACAAATTCCGACTTTCTTTTCTACGGCCCACAGCTCCAGTAATTTCATCTGTAAGTTTTTGGCCTCTGGCAAAGCTGATTAGGGTGCCCTTTAGAAGTTAGCCTTTGTCAGCTGGTGCTTGGAAGGCACCTCGTGCAACGCCAAGGCATGCTTTGAAATCAGAGGTGGACCTGAGATAGCTCGAGCGACTCTCGGTCGGAGTGAAGAGCAGCACAAAACAGGCCCAGAAGGGAAGAGCGGTGACCTTTCTGAACAAGGGGAGGCAGGAGGGAGCCGTCGTGTGGAGATTCAGCTGGCTGAGGGGAAGTGGGAATCCACAGCACAAAAGCTGATTTAAATAAGCACTTCGTTCCAAAGAGCTTTGTTCTCTGCTGCCTGCGTGATAGCTGCCCCTCATCTGTGCTCAACGGCAGTACCTGGCAGGTGTCATCGGGGCTGAGAAGGCTCCTGCCCCGTTTACCTTCACGAAGAGATGAGCAATCTGAGCGAAAGTGTCAGAGCTCTATTGCTATGCCAACTGTTAAGTTTTTCCTTTTCATTGGACCCAGCCTGTAAGCTGACAGATTGCCTGAGATGGGTTTAGACAGCATCTCGGTTCGAAAGCCATTCTCCCAACCTTTGTTAAAAAATGCAAAGCTGCTGTCAGCGGATCTGTGTACAAACCCTGCAATTTCCATGAGATATGTGAGAGCTAAAGCACTACTCCATTTCAAGTAAATCCAGAATCAGAATTGTTTTTGTGGTGGTATTTTTTTTTTCTCATTTTAATCCTTAGCTACTCCAGGCACTGAGGTACATTTATTTTAAGGGGACTTGTTAACACTATAGCAGCCATACATGACTTGCTTACATTCAGACTTGCAAGCACGTGTTTATTGTGGTCCGTGGCAGGGCTCTTGGGTCTTATTGTAATGCAAATAAAAAATTAAACTGGCAGTCGTTAGTGCTTGAAGGTGAAAGGCACCTTTCAACTCTGTAAGAGAAATGCAGAGTGCTCATCACTCCAGGTTTCAGAGCTCTTTTGCTCTAGCAAGCCTTACTTGCTAGTTCAAGCATTTAAAAGTTGTGAGGACAACAGAAGAACCTGGCTTTTGGTTCTCCAAAACTTTTTTTTCCTGTGAGTTTCATTGCAATATCCAGCAGTTCAGAGGTTGAGTTTGGTGGTAGCAAAAAGGGCAGGGAAAGGTTGGGAAAGGAAAAAGTTAACCAAGCCAGGGTGAAATTAGTAAGGAGGGAAGGGTGAGTGAAGCAAAGGTGAAAACTAGAGCATCCTTTTTGAAGTATGATGTCCAGTCAGCTCAGCTAAGGATATTACTGCTGGTCTTGTGCTTCAGCTTCACGAGGGGAAGGCTCTGAGGAAGTCACGGTAGTTTATCTTGTCTTCTCCACAAGAACACAGGTCAATCAGCTGGGGGGAAAAAAAAGCAACAGCGTAAAGAGTTGGAAGAAGCTGCAAACATGTATTTTTTTAGGGAGAAGTATCCAGAGGTACACCTTATGTGACAGAGCAGAAGATCTCATTCCCCAGTGTGGAAGAGCTTCCTACGTCAGTAGACCTGCATCCCAGGTAACCTCGAGTGCTTATGGCTGACCTATGCAGGGACAAGAGCTTAAAGCATGTGAGTTTACTCCTGATTGCCCTCTAAGTGTCACCACAGTGACAACGGAGCCACGGAAAATCAAGTGTGACCACAGACTGGCACAGGTCACAGCAAATCCTTCAGAAACCCCATAGAAATTCCTGCCAAAAGCGTGATGGAGGCAGCATATCCGAACGGTCACTGTTCAGTGATGTCGCTTGCTGTGTGCACACGGCATAAAGTGGAGACACAGATAATTGAGCTCGGTGACAGCCCTGCTAATGAGCCAGTTCTGGTATCCACGCCTGACCCTGCATTGTGTTACAGAGCTATAGCCTTTGTATGCTTACGGGGAAGAAAGAGGGCTTTTGTTTCTTTAATTGCATAACTAATCTCCTTCTGACACCCAGGGAGATGGAAAAGGTCTAATATCACAGTTCCTTGAAAGGATTCTTCTTCCCCTTGTCGCCTGGAGACAGATTTACTAGTGTTGTTCTTGTGTGACTGACAGCTGTGCTCCTCTCCGGGCCAGACAGTAGTTAACTATCTGCCGTATGCTTAATTTATCGCGCCGCCACAGTCCCAGGGGCTGTGGGCACGTTCTTATTAAGATTTCAGGAGAGAGGAGAGGAATGCTTTTAGTGTTCGGGTCCTAGGTGGGGATTCAGACACAGGGTTTGAGCCTCAGTTGTCGCAGGCTCCCTGCATGTGAGAAGGAAGGGTGGTCACCACCTTGTACCTTAGATTCCTCAGGGCACTGGTTAAAGGCCTTTACTCGCTGCACATTCAGAGAATTAACTACCCTGCCTGTGCACCTTTCTAACCATGGCTGTGATGCTCACATCTGTGGGTTAGAACATGGTTTTTTAGCAAGGGAAATACTCTCTCTGGTTTCTAGGCTTCCTTAAAGCACGAGACTGCCTTTCCTGGCCCTTAATTTATTGTATATCTCCTTATGCTAAGCACGGATCCTTGCCAGTCATGTTTCTGGAAGCGTTCTCCCTCCTCTCTGCAAGAATCTTTAGTTTCTTCCCTGTTTTTGCTCATTGTGCCCTGCAAGTCTGTTTCAGTTGGGTTAACCAACCGGCCACAGGTGGCCTGAGCTATGGGCAGCAGAGGAAGCTGGGTTGCTGTGTGAGCTGTGGGCTTGCTGAACTTCAGTGACAAATGGGCACAAACGTTATAAACTGAAAAAAAAAAAAGGATCACAGGCTGACTTCACTCAGAAGGGTCAGGATGCCAGCTGAATGTGGAAAGGATTAGTAATGGATATGATTATTACTATTTATTTTTTTTTGTACTACGCTTAATTCTGAAATATTCAATTCAGCTGCTCTAAATTCACAATGTGTCTGTGCTTTCCTGAGGCTGAGCCCCCAAGCACCTCAGTGTCACCTCCTCTCAGGCCCAGGCATGCTTAAGTCAGGACAGACACTCAGGAGCTCTGCAGTAGCCTATTCCTCATCTCCATCATGATTTACAACCTCCTCGTCATCTTCTATCCGAGACCTGACCCAGCAGGCACCTTCAGCTTCACGTAACAGTGCAGCTGAAAACTAGGCTGCTTATGTTGGGGGCAACCTGGGTTACATTTCTTCCCTTTATTTAGCAGACATTAATCATTATCTCATCCTCTAAGAGAAGAAAGGCTCAGTCCAGCAGCTCAGAGGCCTTTCTGAATCTCACCCCGTTCTTGAAGCTGTTCCCCTTTGTAGGATAGAATAGCTGTTGGCCTAGCCTGGTTGGGCTGGTTTGTGGAAGAGCTCTTTTGGAACACCCACAGGAAGGGAATTCAACATGCACAGCACCCCTTCCTTCTAACCTTGTTAACCAGAACGGCGTTGGTCGGCACGCTTAGGCTGTTGCAAAGGGATAAAAATTTTGCTTTGTCGAGGACACCAGAGCCATCCTTGTCACACCGAAGAAGCGCCTCCCGGATGCTGCTGTTGTTCAAGTAATTATGGAGCTTCAGCTCCTCCTGAACCCGCACAATTAATTCATCCAGTTCCTGCTGGCTGGTCCCTAGTGCAGGGACATCACTGTAGAAGGAAAGGGAGAAGAGGATTTCATGTAATAGCTATTTCTAGCAGCCCTGCTGTGATGCTTCTGTGCTGGCTGCCCACCATGGCTGGCCAGGCTCTATTTCTGAATACACAGCAGGCTTCTGGGGTGCTTGGTTTATATGGCAAGCTCATCTCAGCTTGGACTGAGACACGAAGCTTAGTCTTCATCTTGGACATTAGGTAAACATGTTTTACCATCTGCATGGCATTTGCTTTGTAAACCCTTTGTCTGCAATTACTTTGGGATAAGGAGGGTTTTCTTGTATACTTCATACAGTCTGAGGAATTGCAGTGCAACTCCAGTTTCAAGCAGATCTTCTGAAATACCATGCTATGAGCTGACTCTTTGTGAGGTTATAGGATTGTTACTAGGTCACCTAAAATGGTTCCAGACAGACACCTAAAAAGGGTATGTGGTCTAGGCTCTGAAAGGCCAGAGCAAACAAAAAAAAAGACTCCACCGACCCTCCTCTGAGCCCACAGACAGCGTTAGCAGCACCTATTACAGATTACTGCTCCCTTCTGGAAAAAGGTGACTGCATCCATTTAGCTGAAGGTGTCTCTTCTGCTGAGCCAGAACTGCCCCACAAGGTTTTGGGGCCAGTGGCAGCAGTGACATTATATTGTACACACCTCATACCCCCTGTATGTGTTCAAACACGAGATCTTGGAGCTGAATAATCAGCTGAGTAGCCATTAGACAGCAGGCTGGAGCCCATGGAGGCTGCTGGAAATCCCCTTCATTGTCAGCCCCAAGTCTCATTTAGCTCCACAACACCATCCTTTGAAGCCTACCTTTTGGCAGTCTCCTCTACCACCTGCCGTGGGCGAAGATGATCCCTCAGGGACTGCAGGGTTGCTGCAGGGAAGCGCTCTGCGTTGCTCTCCATGTAATTAAGCACGTATTCATCAGCATCAGTGATAACAAACCGGTGGCCAAACACTGTGGAAGAGGCATTAAAGCAAGCAGTGCTACCTGCCTTTCAGCATGGGTAAGTCACTTCATCAGCTAGGAGGGAGCATGTTTTCTCCCCTGCGGTTAGGGTCAGAGCTGACTGGGCTATTTGTTGCAATCCTTAGAGTGTGAAGGGTTTCACTCACCCAGAGGGAATTTTGTCGCAAGAGCAGCTGCTGAAAGCAAAGACCCCATGCCTGGGCTTAAAATGACTCCCCCATTAGCACCAGTGTGTTTCTAACATTTCAGTATTACATTTATTTTCCACACAGGATAGTTTAATGGCCTTTGTTACTGGCCGTAGTAACAAAGTTACCGGCAGAGCTTTAACCCTGTGAATCCTGGCAGCTCCCAAAACATGAACACCTACAATGAAGAACATATCCCTTTTCCTAATTATGTCTAAGGTCCAAACAGTGACAGGAGCAGAGTTATATCCAGTCACACCAGCTGGTGACCTGGAAACTCAATGCAACCAGATCCAGAAGGAGCAAATCTCTCAAATGCAGGAAGGCAAATGCACTGTCTGTGCCACAGATGATAGGTCAGGCACTGAAAACCAATGCTTAGAGCATTCCTAAGCCAGGCTGGGTCTTACCTTCAATCGTAGAACCTATGGTGAAGTCAGAGGGCCCGTAGTAGATGGCATTGTCTGTTGTAGAGCCTGGTTTGGCAATCCTGGTCTTTCCTAAGTACTTGCCCCCAATGATGCCAGAGTTACGGACTGGGGGCTCGTAGATGCTGATCATGTCATCGGAGAGGAAATAAGAGAGGATGAAACGACGCTTCCTGTCCTCGGGGTTTGGTGACTCCTAGAAGAAAGGGAGTGGCTTTGGAAAAGAACATTTGAACCAGGTTTCTTTTTTCCTGAGGAGCTCAGGACTACCATGTAACCTACTAGTAATAAGCATACTTCATAGCTTTTTTTCTAGCTGACCAAACAAGGCAGTTGATGTAGGCAAAAGCTGCAGATGCACTAACACTGGGTAACAAAGCCCTGGACAGTATTAAATACCTGAATTTCAAAGGTTGCTTGTTCTAGTCGGGCTAACAAGCAGAATTTGGGATGCAGTGACCAAACGCATTCAGTGTTTCCAGACTGACTAATCCAAGAGAAAGGAATATCCTATATGGAATGACTCATCACTCAGAGGAATTCCAGCTGTAAAGATTACTATTGAAGTTGTATTTTTCATTCTAATGGTTGCCTGAGAGGGGCCGGTGCTGCTTGGTGCTCTTACTCACAGGAAGACACTCCCCTGACACACCAGTGGGTTTACTTGCTTAGCTTAAAAGTAAGTTCATCTTAACTCGTCAGCTGTGACCTTTAGGAACTCCTGCACAAAAGGGAAAAGAAATCAGCCCTTATTCACCCTGAGTGTTTGGAGAGGGCAGGCACCAGGCAGCACAGGAAATGCCATTGCTGCTGCTGGACGTGCCAGAGGTTCCTTGCATAAACCAGCTGCAAAGCTGGCAGAAAGGCAAAGGCCTGAATGCCGTGGGTTTTGGAAAGTGCTGTCCCTGTGCTCTGTCCCCAGCTTCTGCTCCAGCACTTTGCTGCTCTGCTAGCACAGCCCCTTGCTGGCTGCTGCAGCTGGGACTGGCCTGGGGAAGGGCAGGTGCTGAGAGCCAGCAGCAGAGAGACAGCAAGCTCACGCTTCTGGCAGCAGTTGGAGGCAGGCAGAGGCACGGTGCCCAGTTGCAATGCAGTTTCAATTAGGGCCATCTGTCACGTGCTGATGTCAGTGGGAGTTTTTCCATAAATGGCTGTGGTTTTGTAGCACGTCTGTTTTGCACTGCCTGGCCTTGTTTTTTTTTCCTACCTTTGCGTGCTTCTAATTGTCCCAGCAAGCACACAGTAACCCAGGGGCATCCCCTAAGGGTCACGAGCGTTGGCTTGGGGAAATCTCTTGTCCCACCAGCACAGAAGAAAATTTGCTAGCAGCCTTGTCTGAGCAGCCTGTTTTTCCCATCCTTCTGACTCTAAAACATGACCTGATGTAACCACTATATCATCAAGGAAAACTCTTACCAGGGCCACCTGGTATCGTAGCACTTTGTGGTCGTTCTCTAGCATCTTAATTATATCTTTCCGGGGAGGCTTCGGAAACAGAGAAAAGCAGTTCTGAAGAGAGTCTTCAAGGAAGCCGTAACCATTATAGGGAGGAATTACCTGCAGCCAGAGGAGATACCAAGCAGAAACAGCTGAAACTAAGAACAAGAACCAAGCAGAAACAGCTGAAACTAAGAACAAGAACCAAGCAGAAACAGCTGAAACTAAGAACAAGACAATGTTTGCAAGACAGCTTATCAGAAACCATCTGTTGGGAAAGACCTCTTCTGTCACCAAGTGGCAAGAGCTGTGCCACCCTGCCCAGTAAAGAGGCTACTAGCCCAAGCATGTATTGGACTCCTTATTTATAGAAGCACTTAAGAGAGCTAAGAAAATCTTAGTCAGAAAGCCAGATAATTTCTTTGTATAAAGAGACTAATGGTACGCTAATAACTTAACCCTTCCTGTGCAGAGGAACTCAATCATCTAAATGGTTACACTGCTAATCAAAGCCCCATCAGGTTTGTGGGCTAGGCCAGCTAACACTCCGCACTATTCCTGGGCGCAGTCTGGGAGATAACATGGGCAATGACTATCCCCAGCAAGCACTTCGGACTTAGCAACCCTTTTTTGGAGAATGAGGGAGAGTTTAGTGGTGTGAGTACAGCCAGACTGTGCCAGTTAGCTTCCCAGTCAGGAAACAAACCCTGGCATTATTTGATTTTCTAGTATAGACACAAGCAGAGTGCTTTCTATCACCATTAGCAAGTGGGCTGTCCTTTACAGTATTCAAAATTGACAATTTCAGAGGGCTTTCCGTTTTATATGAATTATGACCATCCTTGCCTTGTCTTCCTCAAGGTACTTTCTTACAGCTTTCCTTTATGCTGAACCTCTTTACAAGCTCTTGCTAAGCTGAACCTACACTTTACAACCAGAGCTTACACGCACTGCAGCTTTCCCTCCCTTCCTTTGGGAAATTGTTTACAGTACCTGGGGCACTTCCTCAGGTGGTTTCTCCTTTATCTCCACTGGCTGGAAGTCTGTGATGCCAAATTTGTCGCGATAGAAGTTGCGTGTGAACTCGTCGCAATCATAGATGAAGAAATTGCGTCCAAGAAGAGTGGTGGATTTGCCAACAGCAAAATCTTTAGCTGTGTACCACTCAAGTACCTCCTGATCAGAGATTTCCAGCACACAGCTTGGGAAGGTCTCTAAAGCACAAGGGAGCAAAAAGAAAAATAAATCAATCAGGTAGATGTTAATATTTCATTGCAAAAAGGGATACAGAAGCAAATTGTATAAAAATCTTCAGGGAGCTGCTGGTATTGTTCTGCTTCCCCAAAGATAAAGACTCGAGTGATCATCAAAAGAACTTTTCTTTGGCCGAAAGCTGATGACACTTGCAGTGTTCTCATCACAGATGCTCCAGACTTGTATCTCTGACACAGCCTCCATACTTACACCCACCCACCCAGGCACTTTAGCACAAGCAGATGTGCCAGCTGGTCTAAACTTACTTTGCTTCTCCACAAAGGTTTTGGGCAAGCGTTGGCGTTTTATCAGTACTGGGAATGGGTCTCTGCCATCGTTGGGCTTGTGGACCTCCCGAACCTCCACCGTGTCATCTGCCAAGTAGTAATGTATGATGTAAGGCCGATTCTCACCAAACATGCTGTTGGTGTCATCCCACATGGCATAGAAGCGAAGGACCTGGGGCACAAAAACAAACATGGGTTAGAATTACTAGCACTTTGTCCAAATTAAGTTGATTGGAGTGGATGAGGTGATTGGACTCAGCACTCTGCTCTGCCAGGAACAGAAGAACCAAGCCCTTGTTGTACTGTGGGTGCTGGGATGCTTGGGCTGCTGAGGCAGCAGAGGGAAGGGCATCAGGAGCCTTGAGAGCTGAACAGGCCTGGCTTACCTTGAATGCAGCCATGAGAAAGAACAATATGGGCTAAGGCAAGAAATTTAGTTCAGGAAGTGTGAGGAAAAATGGGAGAAAAATGATTAAAAACTAGCAGAAAATAATTACCCAAGGTGAGTAGGGAAGTCCTCTTAATGGAGGTGATTTTTTTAATGAAACTTAACAAAATGGGATATAATTATCATTTTGACTCTTACACCTCTTTGAGGTTTCATGGCCAGTTCTTTACCATTTTCATGATGAACAAGGCAGAGGGGAATGTATGGAGCTGTCCTAAGGAGACTGCATTCACTATAAACCCCATCTTATTTCTTACTATTGGAAATATGCTTTAATGCCACAGAAGTCAAACAGCTCATACTGCAGGGCTTCCAAGTCCATTGCCTACTGGTGCAATGCCCGCTTGGCTTTGTGGGATCATGTTGACCTAATGGCAATCTAACATATCCAAGTGGCAGGCGCTGCTTTGGGAGGGCTGCACTCAGTGGACCAGCTCAAAAGTTCCCCAAGGTGCAGCTCCTAAACACACACCCCAATAACTGTCACAGGCAGAGCTGGCCCAGGTGTGACTGCATCATCCCCGTTCATATTAGAACTGCTCCTGTCTGCTAACTTCCCAAGGCAGGTGGCTTACAGCATCCCAAAAGAAAGCAAGAAAGAGATGAAGGATCTGGAGAATGGGCTCTGCAGTCCAAAGAGAAACTGTTCACAAGGCACAAAGTTGAGCAAAAAAATTTTGTTTCTCACTAACACCAAGAAAGGAGCAAATTTGGAGTCTGCGCAGTGGACTGGAGTTTTTTAGAATGATTAAAGTTGCAGGCACTCATAAGACCCAAGTTTCCGTGTTTCTATGACACATGTAGACTATAACTTAGGTAATTGCTGCCAGCACACTCACCTGCTTGTCGTAAGTCAGAAACTGCTTCAGTTGGTCGAAGTCTGATGGTGTGATGTACATGCGCAGGGGCATCCGACGCATTTCCGTGTAAGGATCAAACACCATTTTCTCTGGCTGGTTCAGTTCAATTCCTTGGCTCTCCAGGAACGCCTAGGAAAGTCATCTAAGGTATTAGTTGCTGCCACGAGTTCTGATGATATGAGGTGACTAGCAATAGGTGACTTTGATTGCATTTTCATCACTCAGGGCAGTCCTGCCCTCAACGTCCTAAGTCAGTTTTTACTCAAGCACCATCTTCCTTGGCCTTGGGGCTTTAAATAGAGGATAACAGTTGGGTTGGTCTCTTTTATGTAAAACAAAAAGATTAAGTTAATGCATAACCATGGATGTAGTCAGTCTGAATTTGCAAAAGACCCAGGGTTCTCCATTCCATCAGACAATGGAAGTTAGTGCAACCCATACCAGTGGCCCCTGTGGCCAGGAAGATGTGTGTCCAGAGTAACAGCTTTAGCTCCTTTTCCAGGAGGAGCACTTTTCCCACAGAAGAACAATCTGTTTGTTTATAAAGGCCTTTTTGGCTTACCTTGGATGCATAAACAAACTCTAGGGCATTGCTTGTGCACTCACCTCTGTCACTTAAAACAGCCTCTGAAGTAAATGGACTTCTTCCCTGTTTGGCTTTGGGAAGTGGCCCATGAAAATATTCAACCCAGAAAGCACCTGTGCAAACATCCCCAACAGACTTGTGAGATCACCCTGAAAACTCACAAGGCAGGTTCACATTTTCAGACTCTTCTGGTCTAGAGGATGCCAATTAATGATAAAATTGACCAGAGACCTTGAGAAGTAGACCCATGTAGCTCATTTCATGTTTTCCATCAAGCAACCAAGATTAACAGGTGAGCCAGCTCTTCATCTGATGTCAACTGACTTTAACGGCCATCCAGCTCCAGCAGAGTAGGCCCCACATGCTCCTGACAGATATATATTAATATATTACACACAATTGGGAACATTCCTGGGCACTGAGGCCAACTGGCAAGGAATAACCCTCATCTAAACTCTCTCAGCCTCCGCGATGAGCTGGCTGCACGCAATTCATCTATTGAGAATGGTCCCCGGAGCATTCTAACTCCTGGATTGTTCCTTGGAAGTGCTTGGAAGAGCAGTGGTTAGCCAGGACCCAGATTACACTGGGGACAAACTAAGAGTATACCAGTACATTGGTATTTGTTGTTTTTGTTAATGCATTGTTATTATTTAATTTACTAGTACAGAAATAGCCTGAAATAGAAAAGTAAGCAATGAGTAAGCACTCTTAGGTCAGTTTGTACCACGATTCTCAATCCACTGACCATGAGTGCTCTTTTGGGCTGGCTGTAGATAAACACAGAGTTACTAAGAGCATTCCCTTGCCCTGTTCTTACCAAAGGAGTATGAAGCTGGAAAAGAGCTAAGATCAGTAATTTCCCTTTCACATATGCAAAATGGTTAATTAGGACTCCAAGCAGTTAAACTGTTGTACACAGAGAAATGAACTCAGACCAATCTTGCTAACACAGAAATAAGCTTTGAGTTTTTGCTGTACTGTATCTAGAGGATAGAGCATGGAGTCAAAGCAGCCCTGGGGCAAAAATACTGAGCAGTTATTGTGCCCTCAGCAAGTATCATACCCTGAACTACCCATTGATCTACGGAAAGAAGTCTCCACAGAACATAAAATGAAAGATCTCAAGCAACCTCAGCATGAAAGCTGCAGGTGCAGGCTACTGGGACTCTAACAGCTCTTGCCACCTGTAACTCCTGGGGTTCTTCGTGTCAGTATTCTCTGTACCAGCAACACACCTGGGTGAACGGGTCACAGTCGACTATGTGGTACGTCCTGCCATACATGGTGATGTCCATGCCTCGATTCAGGTCCTTCCAGTGGTAATGCTCCCCACGGTCATTCTTGGGCACGCGATGGCGTCTGATAAGTTTGCCTTGAGGGATACCAGAGTTCTTCACAACCGGCTCTATGACACATATGCTGTCGTCTTCCAGGTAGTAATAGATACCCACTTGGCGAATACGGTAATGCTCTTCTGTAGAGAGAGGAACATCTTCCTGGAAATAGGCATCGAACTTCAAAATCTGTTGTTTGGGACAACGTCCCGAAGGGAGAGAGAAAGAAACAACTTGAACATCATCATTAGTCCGAATAGCTTATTTGTAATGTGCTTCGACAGTGCAAAATTACTGGACTGTAATCTATAAAATCATCAGAGCCTACTGTAGCCTAATCTGTGACTAATGGTGGAGGCATGATGAGGGATTTTATCAGCGTTTGCCTTTTATTGGTTTGGTAGGCATGAGACACTTGTAATAAATGCAGTCCTTTCCCTCTTCCTTTGATCACCTGCTATTTTACCTCCTGCCAGGTGCTTGGTTGCTGCCAGTAATCTCGTTTACTAACACACCTGACTTTCTTTAATAGTCAGTCTCTTTAAACCAGGGTCTGCAAAGCTACCTGGTGATTTTAGTTGAGCTCCACCACATCTGTGGACCTTAGGAGCTGCATGGCTCAGGAACTCATATCCATGAAGAGCCAGTGTGTGCTGGAGAAACGAGGAGAGAAATCAGGGCCCAGAGAAAATGTATGCTGCATACCCTGCCAAAAGCCAGTTGCTCACAGTTCCTGTGTGTGAAAGAAGCACAAGTATTCCCTCCAAGCACATTCACTGCCCCTAAGAGGACGTAGGTGGCTAATCAAGCCTTGCACACCCAGCCTACGTCAGCCCACAGAGCTAGGTAAGCAAGTGGCTGCTCCTCTGGCCTGAATGAAGGGGCTGACAGATTAAATGGCAGCATCTACGTGACTCTGAAAGAATGGCCTCTGAAGCAGTAATTAACACAGCACATCTGTTCCCCAGGCTGTCTCACAGATGGGCTGAGGGTTGGCTGCAGGCTGCCTGGCAGCGTGCAACTCCTGGGGTGTGCTCAGGACTGCTGAGCCCTGCACACTCTGCAGGGACTGCTCTGCCTGGGGCTGCACACGCCCTCGTGCAGCCTGAGCAACGTTGAAAGTTGAGGGTCAGCTCAGGACTGCTCCGGGCAGACACACAGCCACCTCCTAGGCTGATAGGATCACCAGGATGCAATGCAGGAAGTACTAACGGGGCAGTGCAGGCTCTAACATGCTGCGGTGACAAGCACGAGCATAAATAGATAGACCACAGCCAGACAGTATGCAAGCACTCCACTGCAGAGTGACTTTTACAGTCTAAGCCTGGTTACAACCTCAATATAGCTCTGGAAATGCAGAAGGGCAGGCTGGCTTTTACAGAGCAACGGGTATAAACGGAAGCTTTTCAGAGTTAATCAAACTTCTTTTCAAACTCCTGCTGGAAATGCTCCGGCGTAACTCGTGGGGAATGTCTTACATCGTGTACGTATTATAATCCTCCTCCTGAGCAAAGAAAGCCTCTTTCAGACTGGGGTTCAGCTGTCTCTGACTAAGGGCAATGGCATCTGAAAACTGCTGTACGCTGTCCCATGAACCCTGGAGCTGACTGTTTATGTCTCCGAGCTCGGCCAGCTGATATTCCTGGAATAAGCTTCTTTCTACCTTTTTGTCAAAAGCCACGTGCGCTGGAATGAAGCCCGAAGGAGGAGCCTGCCTGGCTTGCCCGTAGGTCAGCGTGGGTCTCGTGTTGGATAATTCATCTAATTCAGCCTGCGAAAGCTGATTCACGTACAGTCGCTCCCCGCCGATCCCCACTGTAGGCAGCCGGGAAAAGGCAAAGCCATTTTTGTAGCCCAGGGTCTGCGAGCGATGAAAGGATGTTTTCTGGGGAAGAAAAACCAGATGTTAAAACACTACACGCACTCAGCAGAGACGGCTACTGAAAGCACAGAGAAACAGTACGAGTTGGACACCCAGAATGCCTCCACGGCGTTTTATTATAACCTACTGCAGCAGTGAATTACAATCAAATTTTATGCTTAGATTAAAAAGGCTGAAAAAAAAAAACAAAACACCAGTGACTGGAGGAACAAAGCAGCAGTTACCACAAGCTTTGGTGTCCAGAATGGGGTGACAGCACTTTGTCTGCCCTAGTATTTGCCTCACTAACTCTTTGCTCCCTTCTGTGTGTTCCTGCAGTACAGAGCACCAAGGGACCCCACTGTTATGCCTCATGGTACTCCCTTGGCTGTTACACAAGGATGGTTGTGCACCTGCTGCATTTTCTGTTGATATTTTGTCAAAACTCTCCTGGGGATGATATTCAGAGGATTTTACTTGCTGCGTTGAGTCAAGGTGTGTCGTGCTCACAGAACTGCAGTCGTGAAACACACCGAACCTACCACATCCCTCCACAGCCTGGGCAAAGGTCCACACACGAAAAAAGCCACAGCCACAGCTTAAGGCCCTGTAGCCGATTTGTGAGGCCTACTAAGACCAACAGAATTCTGTCTGTGAGCACTGAATATCATTGTCTGTAGGATTCACCTGATATTTTTTGTTTTGATGGTTTCTTCTTGGTGAAGAGCCCTTCATCTGTCTTCACTCCCTACTTCACACCAGCTCCTGAGCTGTTCTTGAAGCTAAATCATTCTCCAGATGGCACAGGGAGGTCCCTGCTCTGCTTACAGATGCACAAGAGAATATCAGAGCTGAAAACACGATGGGATCTCTGCCTGCCCAGTCGTGTTCTTCACTGCTGAAGATGAAGATCGGACGTGAGTCCACCCACAGACCACAACTGGAACCTCACATGCAATCCCAAAACCATCTGAAACAGCACACAGCTGGCTGCTCCCAGGCCTTCAGCACTCAGTGTTCCAGGGAAAACAGGAGAAACTGCGAGTCCCTGATAATAAAGTCTCTGGCTTTACCTTGAGTTTTGCCAAATAAAACAGAACTACAGGCATTTCTAGATTTTCTTCAGCTCCTTTTCCAGACCCAGACGTGCAATCTGTTCAACCCCGGGCACGTGAACTACTTCTCCTCCTCCCCCTCGCTGCCCCTCATGGTTAAGCCTCTAATCTTATTCGTACCTTCCAGGCCCCACTTGAATTTCAAGTAACTGCCTCTTTTCTCTCCGAACTGGTGCTGTGCATCTCACAATGCTGTGGGCAGAGCAGTTAGGAATTCCTAACAGGATCGGGGGAAAACAAGAGAATTTACTGAAGACGTGGTAACTGAGTGCATTATAAACATGAGTCCTGCCACAGGATTGCCATTTCCTCCTGGTAACTAAGTGCCTTTATGCAGGGAAAGCTGTGGGGAAAACATTCAAGGGAAAACCAAGAAATTTGGCCTTAAATTGAGCAACGGAGGTGTTTGTCAGAGGCAGAGGGGCTTTTAAGGGCCACAGCTGCCTAAAGAAACCCCCCTGTGAATGAATAAGGCTCCCAGGTTGCCAGGCCAGCCTGCATCTGGCAGTATCAGGTAACCAACGTAACTTTGAAAGGGAAAGCCCAGAATGTAAACTCCTAATCTCAGTCACTGCCGGTCCCTATCTGAGAAAATCCGCTGAATTAAGTCCTTGGCTAAGTCTATATAAAGCCTCGCACAAATGCTGCTTCCCCTGCTGGTGTCTCTGTGCACAGACACACACACACAAAGCTCTAACTAACCACAGTCTCACTCAAACACAAAGATTTTCTTCTGCACATCTCAAAAATTCATTGGAAAACAAGAATCACGATGCTCATTTTATAGACTGGCAAAGGGAGTTGATTTCACTCGCTCAGGCTTGTCCTGAGGAGCAGTGCAAAGCCATTTCTGGAGCCTGGATCCCCTTAAAACATTGCAAATTGTTATTTCAGAGCAACCTGAAGTGTTGAACTACCTGCTCTGTTAAGTCCTGCGGGTGTTTCCCACAGGCTGATGTCAGCAAAGCCCTTCATGTGACTAAAGCAGGCAGCATTTTACCGATAGAGGAAATAATATTTTGCTAGGAGCAGAGATTTGCACTGTAAATTTCCAACCCAAGCGTGCGAATAACACAGAGATAACCTCTAGAGCTGCCTGATTGAGAGTGTTTGTTACGAGTAACTGACTCCACTTACTGTTAAAGAACTCATCACTGACTTAGAAACCAGTTCGACTGTGCTGGAGGGCACCACAGGGACTGTACAGAGACAGCGTGTCCCTGGCTAATCCACACACAGGCAGAAGAAAGAAAAGAGAGCAGTTAAGAGTTATAGAAGTTTCTGTCATGAGGGCACCTGGGAAATACTGCAGACTCCTCCAGAAATAACCTTGTGGTGGCAAGGGGATGGAAGGGAAGTGACCTAGGGAAGCGTCAGAAGCTGTTGAAGTGCAGAGTCTGGAAGGGTCGATGTTCAACAGGAGCATCCAGGACCAGGAGTGCCACCTCCAGGCATCTCCCTCCTTTTTTTAGATATTTATTTTTCAGTGGAGCACGTCCATGACAAAGCTTTCTATGTATGAGGTTCCTCATCCTGCAATATCAGAGCATGCTGGGGCATTTAAATGGGAATTAAAAAGGGAATTTAAATTTAAAAGGGAATTTAAATGTCTTGGGAGAGATCAAGGGACAAAAAAGGGGACAAATAGTCCTCACTTGAGTACTGAGCTCTCTGGAAATGGGATATTAAGCCCATCCTCAGAGATATTAAGCTCCAGGGGAACGTCGGGCATGCCTTGGTATATCAGCTCCCTGCTGAAGTTTGGGAGCATTGCTTCTGAGGGAGGCACTCCAGAAAATTCAAGGATAGCGGATTCTCATCTGAAGATGAATAATGGCATCAAGACTCGAGATATTAGCTCCCTGGGGAGAGGGAAGCTGCTCCAAATCAGTACTGGCAGGAGCCCAGGGTGTATCAGTTTTCTTCTGTGCTACTGCTTTCACAAGAGGTTATCGGGATGGTTTGGGGTTATCAGAACCTCAGTGCGTGGACCATTGGGAATGGGGAAAAGGAAAGGTTGCTTCATTGCCTAGATATTAATTCAAGGGGCCTGGGCACAGCTGAGTGGGTCTTGCTTCCTTGGGAGGATCCTGGGGGCTGTGACGGCATCAGCTCTGTGCAGGGATCCTAGTTCTCTAACAGAATATTGGATTCTCGGGTTCCTGAGCATCCCTATGGTTTGATTAAGTTCTCCAGGGGATACAGAGAAGGCATTTGTGGAAGTTATCAGGTGCCTGGTGAGTAGGAGGTCTTGAGATGGGGCAGAGAAGCAGCAGTTTTCCCAGGGGGTTCAAGTTCATAAAGTGACTTTGGGGGAACCCCTTCCCTTGGGGTATCACATGAATGTGATATGGGAAGGGAAACCTCACTCTCCAAAGCTACCAGGACAATTTTAGGGGCTATGAGATGGCTGCAAGACGCACTGGGTTCCTCGGGGATGAGTTTAACAGTACCAAATCCCTTGTAGGGTGGGCTCAGGGATACTCAGCTCCTTGGGAACAGGCTTGAAATCACACTGGGGACACTCGGGAAGCACCAGGTCTCCTGCGGGCGACCTCAGGGGTACCAGGTGGGGTCAGAGAGTTCAGCCCCCAAGGACTGAGATCAGCAGCTCTCTGTTGGCTTTGGGAAACACCAGGACACGGAGGTTCGGTGGGTGTTAGGTCCCTTGGGCAGCATCAGGGGAGCTCAGAGGGCACCAGGTCCCTTGAGTGCCACCTCGGTAGGTGTCACCTCAGTGGGAGTCACCTCTGTGGGTACCCCCAAAGGGTGCCCAATGCATTTGCGGGCTTCCCGGCTCCCCAGGCACGGATTGACAGGACTCCAGTGAGTTGGGGACCCACCACATCGCTCGGGGGAACCAGTGGGCAGTCTGTGGGAACAGCGGGTTCCCTGGGATTGGGCTCAGGGCAGGGGTAACACGTCCCCTGGAGGGACAGCAGATGGATGTGGGGACAGCAGCGCTGCCAGGGAGCCAGGGGAGGGCCTGAGGGGGTCCCTGAGGGTGTCCCTGAGGGGGGGGGGAGGGGGCTGTTTATCCCCTAGGCCAGGCCGCTGTCGAAGGGGGAGGCGTCCCAGGAGGACGGCAGCAGAAGCACGGACGCCGGGGGCCCCGGGGAAGCGTGCTACCAGGCGGCTGTGCTCACCGTGGGGTCCCTGAAGGCGCAGCCCGGCAGGAAGGGCAGCGCCGGGCCCCGCTCCGAGCTCATGGCGGCGGCCGCGCTCCTTCCCCTGAGGGCGACGCCGTCTCCATGGCAACCGCCGGGGCCCCCCTCCCACTGCGCATGCGCACGCCCTCGGAGCGCGCATGCGCGCTGGGCGACGGGGCGCGGTTGCCATGGCAACGGGCGGGCCCGCGGCCTTGGCTGCGGCCCTGGGAGGCCTCGGGGCCCCTCTGGTGTTGTCTTGTGGCAGCCCTCATGGCACAGCTGGGGCTGACCCCCCCCCTGTTAAAATGTCCCCAAGGGGTGGTGGGAGCCCAGCCTTCCCCTCTGGGGGTTGTGCATTGTGTGGAGCCCAGGGAGAGAAGGGGTTTTTGGGGGTCAAATCCATGCTCTGAGTGCTCAAAGTACTTCAGCAGAAGCGCTTGTGGTGATTTATGATGTGTGTAGTGTGTGTATTAGCAGCCGGTCGTAGCACTGACATCATTCTCCTCTTCTCTGCGTGTTTTTTTTCTCTCCAGAAAGAAGAAAATAATAAAAAAAAAAAAAACAACCAAACCAAAACAAACAAAACAAAAAAAAACAAATCAAAACAAAACAAAAACAAAAAAAAAACAACAGGAGGGTCACCAAGAAGAAAGTTGCTGGGCAAAAGTCACTGCTGAGTGTGACAGATAAAAAGAAAGCCAAATCAGTCACCATGGATTATTATTATTTTTTGGTATTTCTTTTCCTTGGTGTCTTTATCATCGGTGTCCAAGGCAGACCAGGCTGCAATTCAAGGGCAGGCAGCGGGATCGGGGAGTTTTGTAAGCAGAAGTCAAGCAGAGAGGAACGCAGTCTGAGTGTGCTGTGGGAGAGGGGAGAAAAGCAGGCAGTGAGAGATAAAGAATGGGTCTGATGAGCCTGGAAAGGAAAATAATAGACTGAAGGCCAAGCAGGGCTGAAAGAACAGGGTCTGAGAGACAGCAAGCAGCCAGCGTGGCTGTGGACTCAGATGAGGGTGCTGAGACCCAGGTGCCTCTCCGATTTCTCCTGGTGTTGTTCCCCACTTTGCATGGGAGGGGGACTAAAGCAAAGAGAGGCCATCACAAAGGGGGATTTTAGGCTCTAGACACGAGAAGGAAGAGGATTAGGACACTTTAGTCCCCCTGAGTACATTCCCCCTGAATAAACACTCAGGGGAGATGGGAATGAAGAAATGATAACTGAGCAAAGCCACGGCAGAAGCGAATACTTTGTTAGAAATAGTGACCACAAAGCAGGAGACGGGAGAAATGGAGAATAACGAATTGAACTCAGAACATCTTGATTTGAACTCAGAACATCTTGATTCAGCTACATCTTTGACACCCATCTGCTTCTGTTACAGGCGACTCAGACTTGCAAAGATTAAGGCACGTCTCTAGCCTCCTACATCCCTACAGCACTTCTCCTAAAAAGGAAAAGGATCAGTGTTTCCTATATCAAGATTTCCTAGCTCTTATCTACTTAAAGCTCATATATTTTGGAGCAAAGGCTGTGCTGGTACGTGTACTTACACCCCTGTCATGGTAACAAAAAGTCTGACCTGCGAATCCTGAGTGGACAATGTTTCAGCACACCTCATCCGTGGTCCGAAAGATCTGAAGGCTGCTTCCAATGGGTCTGTTAAAAAACACGTGGAAGCACAGGCTTGTTGGCAGCAGGCTGAAATGTGATAGTCATCTTTCTTCCACCTCATCTATTGGCCCTCAATAGACAAGTATTTGATAGAGGTGTGTTAGGATACTGCTAACGAATGAGGTTAGTGCTTCTCATATCTGAAGGAACTGATTTTGATTGAGAGCAGGTCTTACCTTCAACCAGAAGAAAATAAAGAACTACAGGATAACGAAAAAGAGATCAGTGGGGACAGCTGCAAAGCTTAAGGCCCAGCTGGTCTCTTGATGCTTTATTTCATTTATTTATGTTCAATCCTGATTTTCAGGCTGTGAAGGCTCTACTTCTCTGTTCTGGAGTCCACAGGAGAAGCAGACAACACTGGGAAGTATTCTTTTCCTGATGTAGTTGCCGAGACCATCTTCAACAGCTGCTTAACAGAGCAAAGGAGGAAACATCCCACTTAGAGCTGCTGGCTGATGCTCTGCCTCTTAACCCATGTTTCAAGAGAGCTGCAAGGATAAGACCAGGCAAAGACTGACTTTGGGTAACAGGACCTCTCCTGAGGCAACTCAGAATATCTGCTGCAACACCTGGGGCCTGAATTAAAAATTGTACCTTCCCTCACATTACGCCCTCTGTGGCCGGTGACTCAGGAAATAACCAGAATAAAATACTTTGCTCTTCTGACTCGGAAGCTATTTTATTTTATTTTATTTTATTTTATTTTATTTTATTTTATTTTATTTTATTTTATTTTATTTTATTTTATTTTATTTTATTTTATTTTATTTTTTTGCATTTGACTTCATCTGCTTGGGATAAGCAGATGCTTTTGCTAATAAGCGTATCTAGCTTTTCATCCATTAAGGATTTGTATATGTAAACTCAAAGAGTAAAGGGCATGTAGTAAACACGTTCCCTGAAACAGTATTGCCAAGCAACTTCTCAGCATACCAAAAGTCTCTATTTTTGCTTCTCGTTGAAAAGGTTAACAGCCCTCTTTGGGTATTTTGTCCCGTTCCTCTTCAGTTTTTGCTTGAAGGAAACGTAAAACTTTTCCCTAATGCATCTGGCAAAATCCCTGCCACTTACGCAGAGGGCGAGACTTTTGCAAAGCACATCCCTCGCTCGGAAAGCAATGCATCTCCTCGCAGGGCTGGCAGCAGGCCCGCTTGAAGGGCAACATTTTTTCCTCAGCTTGTCTGGAGAGCCCTGAAGGCTCTGCTTTCGTGGCACGGGCGGCCTCTTGGTGCTCCAGATGAAGACATCTCGCCCTCTGCTGGGCGAAAACATACTGGTACGGAGTCCTGGCTCTGCACATGGTCCTAAATAACGACTAGAATTATTCGTATGGTGCTAATAAAAGGAAAAAAATGCATTTTATTTTTTTTTATGGGACTGAATCATTGAGAGTATATCTTAGGGATGAAGCATGTATGAGATTGCACATGGTAAGGAGGGCTTGGAACCAGGAATAAGAGGTGAGGGAGAGTTACCAGCCCCTGCGAGGGAGCGATGGACAAGGTTGATAAGCAAATACCTCAGAGAGCTATGGCAGAAACGGATATTAAAACCCACAGAGCAAAGTTTAAGCGGGGGCACCCGCAGCGTTTGCACAGAAGCGAGGAAGTGCCGTAGTATGGAGAAATCCCCAAAACCTCAACACGAAACCCTGACACGAAAGGGAAGCGTGCAGAGGGTGAAAGCAGGGACAGGTTCCTGTATTCCGATGAACACAGGAATATGGTTGAGCACCCAGGGATGAATTTAGGAAAGCCAAAGCCCAGATGGCATTGAATTTGGGCAGGGATGTCAAAAGCTATAGGATAGGATGGGCTTCTGTACGGGCAAAGAGCTGGGGCTGCTGGGCCTGGAGCAGAGGACCACAGCACTTAAGGTACTCGCCTCTGGCAGAAATTAAGGAATACCGAGCACCCAAATACTGCGGTGGATGATGAACTTAATCCCTCTAATCAGTGTCAGGGCGTAATTATCACAGAATTACTATGAAACCTGTGCTTTGAAATACACAGATAAAATCACACCCCGGCGTTAATTACTGTTATTATTATTGCCCACTCTTCCCGTAAGGCCGAAGTTTCTTCCCCGTGACTCACAACCTTTGTGCGTTTGGCAATTTCACACCACACCAATCGGTTTACTTTCACAGTTTTCTTTTTTTTTTTTCTTTTCACTAAGGTTTTTAAATAATGATCAGTACAGTACAAAGCTTAAAATATTGTCAATGTTTCCAACAATGCGACGTCAGCAGACGGGAGGTGGGAAGGGGATGGTTAGTATCTAACACCCTTATCCTTCCCTGTTTCCCAGGGGAAAAAAATAATACAAACTCTTCCGTACTTCGGTTTAGTAACAAACAGTGCTTAAAAACAATCTCGTCAGTAAAAGCTGTCAATTGCAAGGCACATGAGGAACCCGTCCTTGCCCTGCTACACAAATCACTGGGCAAAACTGCAAGTTTAAGGCAAGTTGAAGGCACCAGAAGGAGGTCTCTCCATCCTCCCCTTCTGCCTCGTACGCTGGGCAAAGCCAGTCCCCGGTAAAAGTGGACCAGCAGAGAGTGTAAATCCCAGGAGGTGATGGCGTAAGGCACGTTGGGCTGACTTCTCAGTGGATCTCTGAAGATCCAGGCTGCTAAAATACAGTCTCAGGAGTGGAGATTCCTGAGGGTGAGGGTTAGGACTTGGGTCCCTTCGTGATCAACCTTTGGTGGCCTCCTCTTCGCCCTTCCCAGCCGTGCCTCCTGAGGAGCACCAGGATGGAGGAAGGCGAGCTCCAAGCAGCGAGCCCAAGGAGCAGACCCCGACAGGCCCTCAGGTGGGCTGAACATTTAGCACAGAGACACTTTTCCTCCCTCGGGATGCAGCCCTGCTCTCCCCTAGATCAATGGCACGGCGTGTGGAGCCTGCACGGGTAGGTAACCAGGTGTGTAAGGCACAAGGATGAAGTCCCAAAACAGAGAAGCTCACTGGAGGAAGAGGAGGAGGATGGAGACGGGGATGGAGGAAGCTCCAGTGGAGACAAGCCCCTTGTGACACCAAGGGTGCATCCTCACAGCAGCAGTGACCCGTGTGGCGGCTCCCTGCTAAATTAACCCATCATAGTGACCAGGAGGTCAGCTCCAGGTCTGAGCGCAGGGCCCCACACGGCCAGGAGTGGCCTCAGCTGAGGGCTAACACGGGAGGATGTGGAAACAGCACCGCTGCCACACAACGGTTGCCCCACAAGGAGAAGTTTCACTTCTGCTGGAGCAGTCAGTAGATGATATAAGGCCAGAGGAACCTCAGGAGAATCATGGGGCACCTCCGACCCCGCTGTGAACTGGGCGGCCTTACTGTAGTCATCCTCCTTAGCCAGGGGCTGAACATCTCACCTAGTTTCAAAGCCATAGAGAAGGAAACGCCCGGGTGATCTCTGCCTTTTGGTACCGGTATAACCAGGTAGGGGCAGAGCACGGCTTGCTGCTAGCGGTGCCCACTCCTTCTGTTTTAGCCCATCTGGACACAACTAGGAAGCTCTGCAGACAAAAAAGCCACAGGCAAAGCCTTCCTGGATATTAAAGCAGGCACGCACACACACACATAAACACATCTCAATAGTTAAAAAACGGATCAAGTGCAGGAATCAGTGCTTGTCATGATCAATCATATCCCCAACCCCAAACCCTGCCTGCTCAGGACCAGCAACCACAATTCGTTTGCCTGCCCTTGGATTCGGTGAGAGAGATCCCTGGCTGGAGTAGATCCCAAGTCTCCCTGGCTTTCAGCAAAGAGCTGCACCTCCTGGAGATGTCAGGGCATTTGAGGCTTCAGGTCTTGCACAGCATACAGCTGGGAGGACCCCGAGTTTCGTGTGGAAAGTGAGCTGTGGGTCGGACAGGAGGTGCCTAGGCTGAATGGAACAGGTCCCTGCGAGGGCTCTCAGCATCAGTCCTGTAAGTGCTACCAACTGTAGTACAGGTATGCGGCTCCATACCTGATATTCCCCCCAGCAAACCCAGAAGAGACTCATCTACTTGTGGACACCATAAACCAACCCTTCCTACACACTTGAACTGGAACTCACCAAGTTCCAAGGACAAACCCATCCCAAAGACTACAAAGAACCTTAATTCTGTCAACCTGCTCCTGCCTTTCACCACTCTACCTTCATCCAGTGCTGATAAAAACATGCCCGATCCACAGCCCTATGCATCAGAGAAGAGCAACCTTGAAGCTTCACAGTCAGCTTCAAGGCCCACCAAGGATCGCTTGGCATCCTAAAAAGAACCATTAAGAGGGGAACAAAGGCTTCACATCCACTTCACTTTTATCCCCTTTTGTCTACGACCATCCTAGGGCTGCTGGAGGCCCGGGGCCCGGAGCCTTTCCCCTATCAGACCGATCACACCCAAGTTACTTCTACACCATGTGGGCTGCGTTGGAAGTCAGCCAGCCTCCTGTGGCAGATGATACGGGGTCAGTCAACACAGGAATGCACGAACTTGTTACACACAGGCAGACAAAATGGCAGGGGGCTGGGACCAGATGATCTTTAAGGTCTTTTCCAGCTGCTCTGTGGTTCTAAAATGGTGCAACTATGAAGATGGAGGAGATGGAGATGAGCTGACATCCCCACCTGGGTCAGAGGTGGCTGAGCCCACACCAGTGCCTGGCAGACACAAAGGTTCGGACCCCGTTCATCCTAAAGAAGGTCAAGTCCAGGTCTAGATGCTTTGCTGATGCCACCTGGCATTGAGATACTTGAGAAGGAGGTCGTCGAGAGAACCTGGCTTAGCCCAGCTAGGAGAAGGATTATTGCAGCCACTGTTCCACCATACCCTTTGCAACCAAACCCTACAAGTGTGGACTCCTCCTGAAACCTTGTTACTGCCTTTGATGCTAACAGGTCTCCTCAGAGACAGCAAAACCCAAAGAGGTCACCACGTGCACCTCTGGGCCTCATGGTGGGTTCTCCACCGCCTCGTGAGACCCCACTACGGCCACCTTCCCTGAAGTTCAGCTCCCAGCTAGATAACTAGGTTTGCCAGAGTGAACAAGAAACCTCTGCCTATTTCAGCATCCTTGGTTAAGTGCCTTGTTCTGGCTTAATCCCTCTCTGTCCCCCCGTAGGGCAGAAGGCAGCCCCTGCCGTGAAAACACATCCAGCACCCAGCCCTCCACCCAAGTCCAAGGTCCAGGTTAGTCACAGTGTGTTAGGCAAACAAGCCAGTTACGTCTCTAGTACGCTATGCCCCTTTCCTTGGTTTGCACCACCCCGGTGGTGTCGGTGCCCGTGGCCTCCACGCCCCTCAGGAGTCCTTTTTCGCCAGGCTGGCCTTGATCCTGCCTCGCAGGACGTAGGCTGTGAGGGCGCTGCAAGCCACCAGGCCAAAAAAAGAGCCGCAGGAGAGATAGATGGAGAAGGGCCCGTGTCTCTTCAGGAAGATCTCCTGCCTGGTCTTGTAATCCAAGCAAATGGCCTCCAGCTGGGAGAGGGTGCAGATGGCCAGGAAGGTGTGGAAAATCTGGTGGGCATGGCCAACGATATCGCAGGAGCCGGGGAAATACTTCTCGGGGACTGGGCAGGAGAAGAAATAAGCACTGATGAGGAAAAACAGGATCTGGTAGGTGTGGTACCAAGCGGCGTCCTCCTCGCAGCCCCCCAGGTGACACACCACCACCCGG